GGTGAAGTATGGTCAAACTACCACCGTGATTGACACGGCCTCTCCAGGCCCCAGTGAACCACGAAACGTTAGCCCAACTTTGGGCCAACGTTAGGCCATCGTTGGGCCAATCACATACCAACCAACGTTGGCATGTTGACTGGGAGTGTCTTTGAGTTGTGTGCCTTTTGGCGTCATCTTGTCCAACCCATGTGAGACTAGGCTCTAAGGAAAGCTGTCTCGGGTGTGGACCAATCAACTTCAAGGACAGTGCACATTATCAGAGTTATGTTTTTTGTTTGCATTATGACTGCAGGTATTGTGGTCTATGCAAACATGACTCCTTGTAAAAAGGTGTCAGTTTTGTTGCCAGATAGAAGGGTAAAAAAACAATTATCATATTTTTATTGGCAAATGAGGTACCCATGGTGTCAACGTTGGCATGCTTACTGGGAGTGCATTTTTTATTCATATTAAATACTCTACCTTCGAGAATTGAAAAAGTACTTGTATATGCTTCCAGTGGAGTTCTATGTATATGGGTTTGTTACACGTAAATAATTTAATTGAAGCATGTAAAGGTACATTTTATTCATGTAGTCACGTTTACTGTATTTTAACAATGGTTGAATTACCAACAGTTACGTAATTTTTCTTAAAATGCCAGAGATTCACTCGGATAAAACCCATAAAACAAAAACGAGTGCTGTCTAGTTATATCGACAATAAGGGCCAAGTGATCGTTTATAAAGCTGCTACAAGCCCTGCATAGTACGTGCAGGGGTAATACAAAGGTGGCCCAGTTAAACACACTGCTGCGGAGGGAGCTGGTAGGAACGTTGGGTTGCTCGGTCAATGGCCTGCAGGGTCAACGGCGGCGTGGTGTATTCCGCAAATATGCCCGACTGTGAGGGCGGGCACAAGCCGGCGTGAGTAGGTTAAACGTTGAGTTTTATAAGGGCACCACGGGGTGACCAGCCCCTCCCCACCCAGCCCCACCCTTCCCACCCCCCACCCAGCCCCACCCTCCCCACCTAGCCCCTCCCCACCCTCCACCCAGCCCCACCCCTCCCACCCCCCACGCAGCCCCCCCCCACCCAGCCCCACCCTCCCCACCCAACCCCTCCCCTCCCCCCCACCCAGCCCCACCCTCCCCACCCAGCCCCTCCCCACCATCCCCTCCCCACCCAGCCCCACCCTCCCCACCCAGCCCCTCCCCACCCTCCCCTCCCCACCCAGCCCCACCCTCCCCACCCAGCCCCTCCCCACCCTCCCCTCCCCACCCAGCCCCTCCCACCCCACCCAGCCCCTCCCTGCACGACGGACACAATAATCCCCTGTGGGCTGGTGTAACCAGGAGGTTCCTACCAGTAATAGGAAACAATTGGGACATCGATAAGAGCCAAAGTGTTATAAAACGGTTCACCTTTGTAAAGATGTTAATTTATGTAGCAGTGGTAAATCAACGACTTAATTAAAATGTAGTCAGTAATTGAGAGAAACCTGGTTCACATTTCACCGTCACCGTAATCTATGTACTGTATTAGTAACAACATATTATACAGTCTGTATAATATACGAACAAACTGGATTTAGTTTAAAAGTCACGGAGTGTGTATTCGTACTTTACGCGTTGTTAAGCCGTTTTACATTTGATTTACTGTTAAAATATTTACTCCTGTCAAGGTTATACAAGTTTAGTGGCTGAGGAAACGCCAAGATTCAGTCTCCAATTTTGCATGGACTATTTTTCTGTAAATGTGCCATTCGCTTGTTTGTTTATTGCAGCGTTAATCTGATTTATATATATATTTAAAAACTGCTGTAACATGTTCCTGCAACTTGTATGTTGACTCAGATTAAAGGGGCCTCTATGAATCTGAAAGGCAATCCCCCTCTACGAGGGGACCATTTCCTCACGATCCTGTTTATAAATGAGACATGTTTCTTCATCGTGTCGTGGCTTGAACTTGTTTGTTGTGAATTTTATGGTATGAATTATTGGGTGATGTTGCTGCTGCTGCTGCTGCGTTGGCAGAAGCACAATTGACAAAAACACAGGCAACAAATTCGTCAATAACGCTGTGGCCCAAAAATAAGCAAATACATAATAGCCAACGTTTCGGGCAATGGCCCTTTTTCATAGCACACAGCGAGACCAGAAGAGATAGCGTGGTTAATAGAGTGCAGTCATCAACTCATTATCCACTCATCTCTCCGTCCTATGTGCAATGACGGGCCATCATTACCCGAAATGTCATCTGTTATATATATATATTTTTAAGGCCACAGACTAATGTGTCCCGTTGTATTGTTTATGTAATTGTAATTAACTCGATCTGCATTCAAATTAAATGTAATTGAGGGGAGGGGTGGGGTGTGTTGTGTGGCAGCATTGGCATTCAGTCGAGTGAGATAACCAATCAAATATCTCCTCCCATCTCCCCTCATCCCCCTCCCCTCATCCCCCTCCCCTCATCCCCCTCCCCTCATCCCCCTCCCCTCATCCCCCCTCCCCTCATCCCCCTCCCCTCATCCCCCTCCCCTCATCCCCCTCTCCCTCATCCCCCTCCCCTCATCCCCCTCCCTCTCATCCCCCCTCCCCTCATTCCCCCTCTCCCTCATCCCCCCTCTCCCCATCCCCACGCTCCCCATCCCCTCCCCTCCTCCCCTCATCCCCTATCCCTCAGGCCCCCTCCCCTCTCCCCTGCTCCCCAGCCTCCCGTTCCATCATCCCCCTCGCCTCTTCATTCCCCTCCCTCATTATCCCTCAATCTCCTCCCCCCTCCCCTCATCCCTTCTCCCCTCCATACCCTATCCCCCTCTCCCTCATGCCCCCTCCCTCATCCCCCTCCCCCCTCATCCCCCTGCCCCCTCACGCCCCTCATGCCCTCCTACGCCCCTCATCCCCGCCCTCCCCTCATCCCCCTCGCCCGCATCCCCCCTCCCTCATACCCCAGCCCCCCATCCATCATACCCCCTCGCCTCATCCCCCCCTCCCCTCATATCCCGCACCCCCCCCTCAAGCCCCTCCCCTCATACCCCTCCCCTCATCCCCCTCCCCCTCAGTCCCCCCTCCCCTCATACCCCAATCCCCCCATCCCTCATACCCCCTCCCCTCATATCCCTCACCCCCCCCCTCAACCCCCTCCCCTCATATCCCTCATCCCCCCCCCCTCAAGCCCCTCCCCTCATACCCCCTCCCCTCATCCCCCTCCCCTCATCCCCCTCCCCTCATTCCCCCCTCCCCTCATCCCCCTCCCCTCATCCCCCTCCCCTCATCCCCCCCTCCCCGCATCCCCCTCCCCTCCTCCCCCCTCCCCTCATCCCCCTCTCCCTCATCCCCCTCCCCTCATCCCCCTCCTCTCATCCCCCCTCCCCTCATTCCCCCCTCCCCTCATATCCCCCTCTCCCTCATCCCCCCTCTCCCTCATCCCCCCTCTCCCTCATCCCCCTCCCCTCATCCCCCTCCCCCCTCATCCCCCTCCCCTCATCCCCCTCTCCCTCATCCCCCTCCCCTCATCCCCCCCTCCCCTCATTCCCCTCCCCTCATTCCCCCCTCCCCTCATATCCCCCTCTCCCTCATCCCCCTCTCCCTCATCCCCCTCCCCTCATCCCCCTCTCCCTCATCCCCCTCCCCTCATCCCCCCCTCCCCTCATCCCCCCTCCCCTCATAACCCTATCCCCCCATCCCTCATACCCCCTCCCCTCATCCCCCCCTCCCCCTCATATCCCTCACCCCCCCTCAACCCCCTCCCCTCATAGCCCTCATCCCCCCCCCCTCAAGGCCCCTCCCCTCATACCCCCTCCCCTCATCCCCCTCCCCTCATCCCCCTCCCCTCATATCCCCCTCTCCCTCATCCCCCTCCCCTCATCCCCCTCCCCCCTCATCCCCCTCCCCTCACCCCCCTCATCCCCCTCCCCTCATCCCCCCTCCCCTCATCCCCCTCCCCTCATCCCCCCTCCCCTCATACCCCATCCCCCCATCCCTCATACCCCCTCCCCTCATCCCCCCCTCCCCTCATATCCCTCACCCCCCCCTCAAGCCCTCCCCTCATACCCCTCCCCTCATCCCCCCTCATCCCCCCTCCCTCATACCCCATCCCCCCATCCCTCATACCCCCTCCCCTCCTTATCCCTCACCCCCCCCCTCAACCCCCTCCCCTCATAATCCCTCATCCCCCCCCCCTCACGGCCCCTCCCCTCCTACCCCTCCCCTCATCACCCTCCCCCTCCCATCCCCTCCCCTCATTCCCCCTCCCTTCCATCCCCTCCCTCATCCCCCTCCCCTCATCCCCCCCTCACCGCCCAATTTCCCCCTCCCCTCCTCCCCCTCCCTCATCCCCCTCTCCTCATCCCCTCCCCCTCATCCCCCTCCTCTCATCCCCCTCCCTCCTCATTCCCCCCTCCCCTCATCCCCCCTCTCCCTCATCCCCTCTCCCTCATCCCCCTCTCCCTCATCCCCCTCCCTCATCCTCCCCCCTCCCCCCCTTCATCCCTCCCTCATCCCCCTCTCCCTCCTCCCCCTCCCCTCATCCCCCCCTCCCCTCATTTCCCCTCCCCTCATCCCCCCATCCCCTCCTTCCCCCCTCCCCTCATATCCCCCTCTCCCTCATCCCCCTTCTCCTCATCCCCCCTCCCCCTCATCCCCCTCTCCCTCATCCCCCTCCCCTCATCCCCCCCTCCCCTCATCCCCCCTCCCCTCATACCCTATCCCCCCATCCCTCATACCCCCTCCCCTCATCCCCCCCTCCCCTCATATCCCTCACCCCCCCTCAACCCCCTCCCCTCATATCCCTCATCCCCCCCCCCTCAAGCCCCTCCCCTCATACCCCCTCCCCTCATATTCCTCATCCCCCCCCCTCAACCCCCTCCCCTCAACCCCCTCCCCTCAATCCCCCCTCCAACCCCCCCCACCGCTTCCAACAGCGGGAGAGAAAAAAAAGGCTCGCGCGCGCGCGGCGCCCCACGTCACGCCTCAGCCGACGTGACGTCACGCCCATACGAGCCAATGGGCGCGCGGCGCGGCGGTGGCGCGTCGCTGGGGTGGTGTTGCGCGTCCGCGGCCTCCGCGCCGTCAAAACCCCGAGACCGAAGCACGCGGCCGGCACTACCTTCGCCGTCGGGCCGTGGAGCTGTTCGCTGCTTGGCTCTATCACCCTCACCTCTCTCACCCTCACCTCTCTCTCACGCCGCTGACTGACGCGCACGCCCGGTTCGTTGAGCGACGCGAAGGGGGGGGGGGGCCGAATTATTGCAATCTGTTTGGCGTAATTTTTTTGCTAATTGTGCGCGTTCGTTCGCGATGCCGGGATTATTTAATCGTCGCGCACGGATACACCCGTTTGTTGGTGCTCGGCGGCCCGGCTTGGCAGAGAGGGTTGTGAGGCGGTCGGCAAATTTCGCGTGTTTTTTATTAATTTAATTACTTCGCCGTTCGATGCAATTTAAAATCAGTTGCCTACATTTCGCATTGGGCGGTTTTTTTTTAATTGCGGGAACTTTTTCACGCGGCGGGGGGGGAGGGGGAGAGAGGGAAAAAAAAACAACAAACAAAAACCCTCTTCAACAAAATTGCATCGTTTTTTTTTAGTTTTGCACATTCTCGTGAATAATATAATTTTGCTGATCCAGGCGATGGCTCTGATCATGGACAAGGAGACGCACGGCGGCCGCGGCGAGGAGGATGAGGAGGAGGAGACGCGCGTCATGTGGAGGCCGGACCCCAAGCGCGCGCCCACGCGCATGGACCGGTTCCGCGCCGTCGTGGCGGACACCACGGGCACGCGCCTCGGTGCGGGGGGGGGGGGCTGGGGGGCGGGGTTATGGGAAGAGAGGTGGGGGCTGGGGGGGGATTTCGGGGTTATGGGGGGGAGGAGCTGGGGGGGAGGGTGGGGGGGCGGGGTTGTGGGGAGAGAGGTGGGGGCTGGGGGGGAATTTCGGGGTTATGGGGGCAGGGGGGAGGGGCTAGGGGGTGTGGGGGGAGAGGTGGGGGCTGGGGGGGAAGGGGCGGGGTTGTGGGGGAAGAGGTGGGGGCTGGGGGGGGGATTTTGCGGTTATGGGGGGAGGGGCTGGGGGGGAAGGGGCGGGGTTGTGGGGGAAGAGGTGGGGGCTGGGGGGGGATTTTGGGGTTATGGGGGGAGGGGCTGGGGGGGAAGGGGCGGGGTTGTGGGGGCTGGGGGGGGGATTTTGCGGTTATGGGGGGCAGGGGGGAGGGGCTAGGGGGTGTGGGTGGAGAGGTGGGGGCTGGGGGGGAATTTTGGGGTTATGGGGGGCAGGGGGGAGGGGCTAGGGGGTGTGGGTGGAGAGGTGGGGGCTGGGGGGGAATTTCGAGGTTACGGGGGGAGGAGCTGGGGAGGAAGGGGCGGGGTTGTGGGGGGAATTTCGGGGTTGTGGGGGGCTGGGGGGAGGGGCTCGGGGGGGGGGGAGGGGCTGGGTTGTGGGTGGAGAGGTGGGGGCTGGGGGGGAATTTCGGGGTTATGGGGGGCAGGGGCTGGGGGCAGCAGGGTTATGGTGGGGGGAGGGGCAGTGGGGGGAGCGGTGGGGGCTGGGGGGAAGTTCGGGGTCATGGGGGGGGTGCTGATAAAGGTGAATGTCTGGGGAGGTTAAGGGGGAGGGGTGGCCGTGCAGGAGACCACGGGCAGTGGGGGGCTGGTGGGGGGGTATCGTGCACGGCCTCGGAAGGGTTGGGGGGGGGGCAAGGGCTGGGGGGGTATTCGAGGGGCTGTAGGGTTCGTGGCTGTGTGGGGGGTGCGGGGAGCTCGGGAGTGGGGGGGTTTCGGGGGGGTCACCGTGCACCAGACCACGGGGGGAGGGGGGGGCTGTGGGGGAGGGAAAGGGTGGGGGGGGGGGCAAGAATGGAGATTGGGGGGAAGGCGGCAACTGCATTGGCATGGCGGGTGAGTTAGGCAGGAGAGGTCATTGCGCAACATCACGGGCATGCGCGTTGGGGGCAGGGGGGGGGGGCGCAGTAGGGGATATTTTGGTGGGAGGAGGCTCAGCAAGAGGAGATATTTGGCTGGAAGGGGCCTTTAAGTGTGGGGAACGGTGTGGGAACAGCAGAGGCGAGAGATGTGCACTTCGTGGGGAGGGGGGCGGAAGACGTTCACACACTGAAATAATCTAGTGAGCCATTAACCCAATTTTCACGGATGTGATTTAACGAATCTTTTTGATTACCAAGGATGATGGCACCACAGTGTGGGAGGGTGGAGGCTCAGGGAAGGGTGGGGGGGGGGATGGCCCGCGGGGGGCAAAAAGGAAGCTGTTGCCTGCAGTGGGTGGTTGAATAATGTGCTGTAACCCGTCCACGGGATCTCTGGCACGAGTGGAGGTGAGGAGGCGGGTGCGGAGGGGTCAAGGAGTGGTCACACTTGCCAGGCAGTCGTGTGGGGGGAGCAGCCATGCGTGAGGCCTGCGGCGGTGGCGGGGGGGGGCACTAGCCACACAAATAGAAAACTGCACATGGTACATTGCATGAAAGTTATATAGCATACCAACAGCATGCACGCAAATTAATTTATTTAAGGAACACACCGACTGCATTAATTGCACGCGTCTGTGCACGTGCATATGCAGAAAGCATGCACAGAGTACACATAGACAGCATGCACACAGTACACACAGACAGCATGCACACAGTACACACAGACAGCATGCACACAGTACACACGGACAGCATGCACACAGTACACACGGACAGCATGCACACAGTACACACAGACAGCATGCACACAGTACACACACACAGCATGCACACAGTACCCACAGGACAGCATGCACACAGTACACACAGACAGCATGCACACAGTACACACACACAGCATGCACACAGTACACACAGACAGCATGCACACAGTACACACGGACAGCATCCGGTCCTCATGAGTCACGATTGGGAATCTCAGCAATTGTTAAAACCACTTTACATCTCCATTGGCTTCCACTTTGGGTAAAAGCTTCCTCAAGTCACCACCAACTCGTCTTGTGATGCAACAATCCATCTAGCTGCTGCACAGGAGATGATTTTATTGCTCTGTTTCCACGGTGGATGTCCTCTCGGATGTTTCACTCCTTTGCCTGCTACTCCATTGTTAGTCTCGACCACCAGCCATCATCCCTTGTTACCATGACTATTCTACCTAAGTCCAGTTGCTTTTCTTGACAGTATCATGCCTATGATATGCATATGTTCTCAGGCAAATGCGTTATCATTAGACAGTCGGACAAACGTATTGGCAGGTGTTTGTGAAATGTGAAGATTTTGTTCTCAAGCAATTGGTGGGTGGTAATGAGGCTGGATAATTACAGCCGGTGAGAGATGTTTTTTCTGTTTTAACCCAACATACATTATTAGATCAAGGTGCTGGCAGATGATGATGCATTTTTCTCCCCGTGCAGCAATTAACAATTTTGCTTTTGAGGCATTGTGTTGCTTCAGTCAGAGTCTATTTCAATGAAATGTTCACGCTTTACCATAGGGCTCTGTCACACACTCTATTCATCTAAGCATGTACCGCTGCGTATAATTTTCGTGGGTTGTGCCGTACAGCTCTGATGTGTTTTCAGTTTGTATCGTGCGGTGCCTGGCATGATGTCCAACGAATAGATTTTCCTGCAGAGGCTCCCAGGACGTGGAGATAAACGTCGGACATCGTGCCGAACTGCACCCGAAAACACGTTGGAGAGCTGTATACCGCACTGTGTTACGCTGTGCGGCATGCGGTGCAGTATTAATATCGTGGCCATAGAAATAAAAAAATTGGCGACATTTCAGAGAATGGTCCTTTTTTCACAGTGCATTAAAGGCATAGCAGTAGAATGAGACACAGTTGAATTGAGAGCTATGCATCAGTCACCACTTTTATTATTACTGATTATTTCACAATGACAAAACGTCGACTTGGCACTGACCTAAATAGGCCTTGGCGTCAGTGACCCGTGCTGAAGGGTAACGCCTCTCCCCTTGCTCTTGTCTTGCAGCCAATTACGCCGAGCTGCACCAGTGGTCGGTGGAGAATTACGCTGAATTCTGGGAGGTGTTCTGGAAGTTCAGCGGCGTGGTGCATTCCGTGCCATACGACGAGGTGAGTGCTGCGCCGCGGGGTGGCCTTGCATCCAAGGCATCGTTCACCGCGTGCTGCTTGACGCTTTCTGACCCGGGTTGGAAGCGATAATTGTGTTGGGCTTTATGCTCCTGTCTGATCTGTAAACGGGACGTGGAGGGGGCCCAAGATTGCTCGTGAAGACGATTAGATATGAACAAAATGTCACGGCCAAATTGTGCTGTGTAGAAACCTGGCAAAATTGATAAAAGTATTTGTCAAAACTTGGCATGAAAAAAATAACTGAAAGGTTTCACCTTGTTGGCCAAGGCCATGACCTCATTGCTTGTGACGTAATTTCACCGTGCAGCTTTGAACTTAACATAAGCAACACTTATTTAGAATAACGGCGGGGTGGTTGAGAAGTATTCCAAGGGCAAATGCATGTTTAGAAGCGTTATAGGAGCCATGCATCTGTGCGGTTTTTCCTTCCATATTTTCCACAATTTTAACCTGATTGTGCTATCGGCATCACATCACATGACGAAGTATCCGCTCAGGACTCTCATATTAGCATTGAAACGGCCTGTGGAAGCAGATATCACAGAGCTACTCCTTCTAGTGACCTCAGATCCTCACATAGTATGAATCATGTCCACCGTGCCAGAGCTTGAATTTAGCAAATTTAAGTGCTTAACCAAATTTTATGTTTGGGTTGTTTTTGTGCAGTCATTGCTGAGACCACCAACTCATTACACTTAAGAAACCTGCTTTAAAGCGACTCAGTTTATCTGAGTTTTTAAGGGGTTTTATCTAAATATATGGATCTCTGTAAGTCTATGGATCTGTATGTAAGTTATTGGTGACTGGGTTAAGACCATCAACTCCCAGCACTTGAGAACTCAGTTAAATTGTAATGCAATTCGTGTAAGTCTTTGGGTCTCTATGTTAATATATTGGTCTGTGGGTCTCCGTCAGTAATTGATGACTGGGTTAAGAGCATCAATGCTTTACTAAACCAAACTATTTTTGTTTTACCAGGTAAGGCCCACTGAACTATCACAGCTCTTTTTCAGAAGCGACCTGGCCACAAATGATAGCCCAACGAGAAGTGGCTTATCACGTGGAAATTTATAGCAGCCAAATACTCTAAATGCGTGTTTCTAAATGTGGAGGAGAAAAAGTGGAAGACCCGGAGAAAAATGCATGCGACCACAGAGAGAACATGCAAACTCCAAATATACAGGCGTCAGGGTCGAGATCGAACCCACGACCTCGTGTAAACCAGGCGAGGTAGTCAACGTCTCGCCACCGTGGTGCCCACTTGAGAACCTGGTTGAACCACAACTCGATTTATGAAAGTTAATCGCTCAACATCAATCATTAGTGAGCGGCCTGAGATCATTAACTCACTAAACTTGAGAACCCGGTTTTGACTTTAAAGGTGACTTGGATTCGAACCCAGCCTCTCGGCAATGCTGGCTCTCCGTACGTTCCTGAACATCGAAATGTTTGTGCGTGACGTGGCAACAGAGGGTGCGGCGCCTAAGTTAAATCTAACGTGTGCTTTTTAGCGTAAGACTGGGTGGTGCACTCTTTGAAATCCGGTTCTGTGAGCCTCGGGGCCAGATATTTTTGGTTTGTTTGCTATCAATTTAGGCAGTGTGACGTTAGAGACGCCAGTGAAAATGCCAAAGTGCCTGTCAATCAAACGTGGTGTTTTTTGTTTTTCTTGGACTCACCCTTCCACTGTCATCACCGTCATCCCCACTGTCATCAGCTGTCATTTCGTGAAGGCTGCCAAAGAAGTTCAACATGCAAACATACAAACGTTAATAATGATTATGATGATTTCACAAACATAATTTTAGAATATTTTAGTGGCGCTGCATTATTTACAGCGCTTTTTTCCCAATCCACTGCTTGATGAAGGCTTCCCTCACGCATGCAGTGTTGGCCGCGGGGATTGTTTGACCATACTTCGCCACGCTGGGCAGTCCGGATGGTTTATGTTAGCCACGGTTGAGTACGTGGATTTGAGGATGCCTGGGAATATCAGATGTTATAGGCTTGGGCTGCAAGTTGGCTCGGAGATTGGCAGTGTTAAGCATCCACCTCTTGCATTTGTGGTGGGTATCCTCCGGGTACTCTGATTTAAGATGATTATATCACAGGTTCTTTTGAGAGATTGTGGCAAATTGAGTAGCCCTTGATACAGCAATGGACTGATCAGTGGCTGATGATGATGTATGTTGAATTTCTTTTGCACCTTACGTATCCAACCGTGCTAATCGGAGGTGCGGGAGACCAGTTTCCTGCCACATTCCAAACCCTCATCATTGGAATTGGCACAGACATCCCAATGCGGAAGAACCTTCCTGAAAATGTCTTAAAACTCGCAGTCAGTCGTGGAATAATTTACATTTCTGTGATTATTATGACAGTGGTTATGGTTGTGTTGAAAGATATTCTCAACGCGTGCTGATCCTGCTTTTGTTTATAACCTGATCTGTCTTCGTGTCTGTTTGAAGAATGTGCTTTTTATATTTAAAAAAACACTGTGATATGTAGGAATGCCTTGTCAGTGCACTCTACACGATGACAGTAACCGACCTGGCTTGGGAAATATTTATAAGCTGAATCTTCCTGACACATACTCCACAAACGAAACCAAGCTATGTTGCTCAGAATCATGGCTGACGGTCATTAGTTTAAGTGGCTGTATCCTTGTGAGGTCGTCAGGTGGCTCAGGATGTCTGAATTCAAATCCAGCTGTCAGCTGCCCAAACATTGATGAAAGGGAGTTTCGCAAGGGTAGGAACAAGTTTATGATCTCAGCCCAGTCGCGAAGAACTCCACAAAAAAATCCCATTTGGTACTCCCACAGTGAACAGCGCACCACTTGCGTCAAATAATGGCCCCACCTGCATCTGCCCTCGCCTGTGCCATGATACTCATTTGCATCACCTGCACCTGCCTCACCTATACCATGTGACCCACACGCCTCGCCTGTACCACGTGATCTACCTGCCTCACCCGCACCGTGTATGGCCCACCCGCGTCTCCCCCGCAGGTGGTGAACACGAGCAAGACGATCGCCGAAGTGCCCGAGTGGTTCCACGGGAGCCGCCTCAACTTTGCCGAGAACCTTCTGCATCGCGGGGACGCGGAGAAGGTTGCGCTCTACGCCGCAGGTCTGCACATGGGGGGGTCGCACATCGGCAACGTCGGGTTCGCGTCGAGAGCTCTTTGCCGTGTTTCGTTGAAACGATAAATACGCGCGTCTGTAACGCACCGCGCAGTTTTGCCTCGATTCGGAGAGGGCGCAAAAACCACAGGTGAGCGAGATGGCCAGAACCTGCGCAAACTATTTCCCAAGCTCTGTGGTCCTATATTTGGTTGTTTGGCCCACTCCATGACTACTGCTACTACTATTCCCATGACCGATTCGATCGTCGGGGTGCCGTTCAGGATGACTGAACTGTCGGTATCCTCCAACATGTGCGGTCTCGGGACTACTGGAACAGTAGCTCGGGTAGTGTTAATCTAGTCCACTGCTCCCTCTCATTATTTTTTTCCTTCGATCGCTCCATGCATGAGTGTTTATACACCCAGCCATCTCAAATGAAACATCGACTTTTAGTCCTGGACCATGCAAACTTTCCTGTCAAGCGGACAGTCTTAAAAATGCTGCGGCCTCGATACCATATACATTTTAGTATACAGCGTTCTGCACACCACGCGGTGCCCTAATTGGCGGGCATTGATTGCAATTAGCCTCCAATTGCCCCCGAGGCGTTAAATCGTGGCGCAGAGGAAAACAAATCCCATTGAGCTGTCAAAGCTTCAGCTCGTGAAGCTGCAGCAATTTCCAAGAAATGGCCCTTCAGGAAACGTTGCGCAATTGAATCAAAGAGTGACCCTGCTGTTGCGAGAGAAGGTGGTCATCACCTGTTTTACTGCCCTGAGCCAGCGATGGGAATTCCTTGTTCCTATGATGGACTTCCCCACCACCACCACATCCAGGATTTTAACTCGTAGGCTGAGGGTTGCGAGCCGCTCGCTCTACCAGGGCTGCAATATTTACCAGCCCTTTCCGATTTACGCAGTCGGCTGCCAAATATTGAAGCCCTCTCCAATCCCATACCGACTTTGAAAAACGAATCGTACGCTTTAATGAGTACGGGCCACCAGGTATCGCAGCTGCGAATCCGTGGCGTTTCGGATAAAAGTTCACCTTTTCCCGACGGCCGTTTTATAGAGACGCCGGGTAAATCTTATCGCGTAATCCTATAGCAGAACAGTGGCCCTATCGTGTGCTTTGTCGCGCACGGAGCGCGCTGTTTAGTGGCGGCATGGGTGGAAAAAACCCGATTTTTCCAGCGGCAGGCATCAGGTTTTTTCTTTAATACAATTAAACCCGATTTCGGGGAATTAAAACCTGGTTTAATGAATACGAAACTCTGATAGGCTTGGGCTGCTTCCTCGTCGGTGCTGCTATCGTACTCGGGGGGGCCGTCGGGCATGGGGTAGTCGTAGAATGCGGCGGGCAGGTTGGTCTTGATGAACACGAGGAGGAGCTTCTCCTCCACAATCGTGGGTGCCAGTGAGTTCCTTCGCTTGGAATGGATGAAGCCCATCGGTGAGAAGTGCGGTTCTGCAATTAGAACCAATTAAACCGGATTTCTCCCAATCTCAGATGATCGGGTTTAATATAAAAAGACAATTAAATCCGATTGTAAAAAACCCGACTGTGCCACCCTTGAGTGGCGGTGGCGGCAACGGCAGCTCGATGTGTACGTGACATAGCTGCCCAAGAATAATGATAAATCATTCATTAAAATATTCCTGTCTTGACCCACCGACACCACCACCACCTTTATGTTTGTCCCGAGAGGAGATGTTAGTGGGTGGTGGCGTGTGGTGGGGGGCGTGCAGTAGGGGTGGTTGGGAGGGATGGGTGGGGGGGGGGCCTCTACCGCCATCTGTTTGGGAGAGCATTTGTTGCCAACGGGAGGGAAAATGGCGCAGCTTGGGCTGGCATTAAAATGGAAAAATCGCAGTTTTGTTTCCGAATAAAATGACACAAGCTGCGCTACGTGGCCCGAATTTTTGAAAGTTTGGAGGAGAGAATGCGCAAAGTTGAGCTCTCTCGCCCTGAGTTTGCGGCGCAGTTCTAACTTCCGTTTTCAATGCGGTGACCCCTCGTGCCTTTTAAAGTTTTAATTATTATAGGATCAGTGTAAGAGCTTTACAAATAATCTCCGGTATTAAGACGGTATATATTTAGCAATCACGTCAACTTTTTAATCTCTTCTTTTAACATGTCACGTGGCAAGCGACAGCGCCGTCAGTCTTGAGATGTTTTGGGAGGCTGGCTCACTGTTACAAAGGGGGGCGCTTGACATGGGGTCACATCCCTGGCAAGGATTAATTATTTCGATTATTTTTGTCCAACCTTTCGGCTCCGGTATCTCTCGGTTTTTTTTAATCCCCCCCCCCCCACAATATTATCCCAGATGTGCTATTGTTGCCATGTCATAAGACAAAGAATCAATAGTGAACTCTCACAGAGAAGTGCAACTCTTCATGTTAGTCCATGATCCGTGTACTTTTTTTAAAGTTGTTTTTTATAATATAGCGTCAACGTCGATCGCGCAAATTGAATCTCGCATTCACCGAGGAACCACAGACGAGCTGCAAGGCAGGAGCCAAGCAGTGAGCCGGCGGTACTAATAACCGCCCAAGCTCTGTGGGTCTCTACATATCAGGATGTTTTTCCGGAAAAAATGTATGAGGGAACTGGAGCACCGGGAGAAAAGTCACGCTCGCCAAGGGGGCAACACTTTATCCCGTACAGAAGGGACAGACGTAGTCCGCACTTTGCTGTTCCGCCTTCTCCTGGCAAGCCAGGTTATGGCACTTCCTCGACGGCAACGGGAAGTTAGTTTGACCAAAGTTTGGCGCGGTCCACCCACCCTCGCCTCCACAGTGTACTGGATTACAGGACACGTGCGTAGCCACCACTGCCTGGCTGCGATAACCAAGCATAGTCGGATATTACAGAGCTACTTCTGAGCTCCCTTGCGAGTGACCTTCAGCCCACACAGCAGAGGGCAGCTGCTTCACCGCCCGCCCTGCTGCTGAGAGAAACGTTCCAGACGGTCAAAGCACAATTTTTATTATTCTTAGAGGCTGAAATATAGTTAAATTATTTAGGCGTTTTTTCGTGATTTTAATCACAGCTTGACAATAATACATATGTCTTGATGATATACATATGTCTGTTAAAATGAAGTCAGTTGGCTCTCCTACCCTCATGTATATATGGATTTTTAATGGGGGGGGCTAAAGTTTTTTGTTTTCCCCCCACCTCCAGTCTGCCAAGTTAAGGGGGTAAGGCAATAGCCGCCCTAACTCCCTTGCGGCTTGCGATTACTTGATATAGAACTACTCAAGAGCCCTAATACATTCACTTAGAGTGGGATTGTGAAACGGAACGCTGCAAGGTTGTACACGGCATTTGTGCGAGCGCGCGTATGTAACTAATGTTTATCTCGTTGACTTTCGCAAGGCTCGGTCCCAGGAAAGCGAGGCGTAGGCCGAGCCTGGGCAACTTGGGATTTCTGCCCGAGACAGAGTCCTGTGTGTGTCTATGCATGTATGTAGAACTTCTTTCGCACCGCATGTAGCCAACCGCGTTAATTGGAGGTGCGGGCGAAGGACTACAAAATACCGTCCTGTGGCGTAGGATAGTCCATTTTGGCCATTGGCACTGTTTGCATTTGCTGCTTGTTTGCAGAGAGCTCACGCGCTCAGACAGTGCCGATGCCACGCAGGGTGCTTTGTGAAGGACTATTATTGACTTTTATACATTGTGAACAAGTGTGACACCAGTGCACTTGTGAACATCTTCTTAGCGAGCTCTTGATAACGAGTGGGTGCTCTGTACCCTGCGTGTGTGGGTATGTGACGTGCAGCCTTATGGGGAGAGGAAGTGCAGTGGTTAGCACACTGCTCAATGAACCCGGTGACCCAATAACAGTGCACGTGCGTGCACGTGTGTGTGGGGGGGACCGGTGGTGCAGCAGTTAACGCGCTCTGCTATGAACCCGGCCAACCCGAGTTCAATTCCCGCTCACGGCCACCAACACCGGTGACGATTATTTGAACCGGTCCTGAGCCTCCTTAATGTCGGCTCACCCTCAAATGAGTACCTGGTCACCTTTGAGGAGACAAAGGCGGCCGGGCGTTGTGCTGGCCACCCACCCCATTGTGTGCTGTGGCGGCCTTCGTAGGTGCTACTCACTAACATAAAACTTTGAACTAAAAGTTATTTTAATTTTACCAGGTAAGGGCCCAGAACTATATAGTTATTCACAATGAGACCTCCTTTACCAGTGGTAAAATATAGTGATAGGTTTTTACCCTTTCAACTGGTACAAAAACTGACACCTTTATACAAGGCATCATGTTTGCAATAACCACAATACAAGCAGTCAAATTGCAAACAAAAAGAAACAACTCTGATAATGATAATGATATGCACAACACCAATGGAGACTAGGCTCTAAGAAAAGCTGTCTCAGGTGTGGACCAATCAACTTCAAGGACAGTGCTTATCATTATAAGAGTTGTTTTTCTTTGTTTCTTTTTGTTTGCAATTTGACTGCTTGTGTTGTGGTTATTGCAAACATGATGCCTTGTATAAAGGTTTTTGTACCAGTTGAAAGGGTTAAAACCTATCACTATATAGTTATTCTTCATAAGTGAACAACTACAAATGATCGCTCAACAAAGTGGCTTACCATGCGGAAATGTATAGTAGCCAAGTAATCTGAACGCACGTTTCTAAATGTGGAGGAAAAACTAGAGAACCCGGAGAAAAATCCACGACCACAGGGAGAGATCACGCAAACTCCAAATATACAGCAGGCGTCGGGGTCGGGATCAAACCCACGGCCTCCTGTATACCAGGCGAGGTATCATCACGCCACCCTGGCACCCAAACAGAACTTGCCCCAAAAGTGTGTGAAGGCTATACGGGTTGTCTTTGTCTCTGTGCGTTGCAGTGGAGGGGGGCGAGGAGGTGAGCAAGGTGACGTTTGGCGAGCTGCGGCGCGACGTGGCGCTCTACGCCGCCGCCATGCGCAAACTCGGCATCGGCAAGGGCGACCGCGTGGCCGGTACGACACCTCCTCGTCTACCTCGTCACCGGCACGCACTCGCCAAGTCGTCTTACGTCACCCACACAGTCGTGACAATTCCCACAGCAGCTTCGGCGTCATCATCATCATCATCATCATCCGTCAATCGTCGTCACAATTATGGACATGATGCAATCTTCATCGCCGTCATCATCGTTCATGAATCGTCATTATTGTGATTAGGGATGCACTGATTTCGTCATTCATCTGTCGTCATAATCGTTATCGGTCACATATCGTTATTAGGGATATGATTATTTCGTCATCGTCTGTCAATCTTCATAATAATTAAGGATGTAAAGATTTCCTCATCATCAACAGCCATGGATATCAGTCCACTAGTGGAGGAAGGCCTCCCTGAGCTGTCACGGTCCTGTCACGTCACAATCCATCGACACTCCTGCACGCAAGTTGATCTCTTTACTTCATCTCCGTCGTGGTCATCCTCTTTAAGTGCAGTTCCCTCCTTTGACTGCCATTCCGTGACAAGTCTCGCTCATCACCCTTCTGAGACCATTTCCCTTTCTTTAACCGTCAAATGTGATGTCTCTATAATCATTGTTTCTTCCCGATCAACGAACCCTCCTTCCTGTTTCTCGGCACGAGCTGCCAGCGTGCATCTCCCCATGCTTCTCTATCAACGTGTTTCGTCACCATCCAACAAAATAACTCTTGATCGTGAGCATACTCATCACCCTACAATAATTCGTGCACGTGATTAAAATCTCACGAAAAATGTTTGTTGTTATCGGGAAACACAATGAACAACGCCATGCATCTTCTTGGTTCTTTCGGTAAAGTCACGTAGGATGTCATCATCATCATCATTATCATCGCTACAACACAATTGTGCGAAACCTAACAAGGAAGGCACCCTACTCTTTACAATGTTACCGAACTCGTAAGAGTTGACGATAGCAAGTGTTCAGACCTGATTAGAATATGGCAGTGCAGTCGGCCTGGGAGGTCCCAGCGGCTTGCGCCAAAGCTCACGCATATCTTCCCATCCCACCCGACACGCCACCACGAGTGTCGTGCGTGATTGCGCCGTGGCCAGAGCGTGGGCAGCGCGATGCCACCCACGTGATCTGGGTAATGCTTGCCCCCCCCCTGCCCCCTTCACCCAAACCCCCCAGTGCTATCCATTGCCTGCTGGCTTGTAACGTCACATTCCGCCAGGATTCCTTTTTCCACTTGGCAGGATGAAGAGGGTTTCATCTTTTAGGGGTGGGATATTATCACCGTTTGTAACTATTTCTGTCGTGACTCTAGGTGACCTCTTAAGTTTTGAGTGATGATAATGTTCATGCATATTATATTTAGTAAAAAAAAAAAATGTTATTTTATCCCATCGTGTGTAATCAGCGTCGTGAGATGAGATGGAAAAATCTTGTTTTGGAACTCTTGCAGAGCAGAGCAGCCCCTCCGTGTTAGATAATAACCCGCTGAAGCAACAAATCATTGAGCTACCTCTGAGATCCCTTCAATTGACCTTCGGAGTTGTGGGCAATACTTTACCAACACTGCCAGCCCTGCTACAGAGGGTAATTCTCGTCGTATGACAATCAAAGCCATATTTTTAATTCTCAGAAATATACACTTTGTCAAAACAAGGTGCAGAACCAAAATTTAATGTCGTGGGTTTTTTTGTGTGCATTCATTGGTGACCGAACTGAGAGAGAGAGAGAGAGACCGTCATCTCACTGTGCTTGATAAGCCCGGTTTAACCACAGGCGGTGGCTCAAAGCTGGATCCAGTCCCTGGTTTAACCACAAGCGGTGGCTCAAAGCTGGATCCAGTCCCTGGTTTAACCACAGGCGGTGGCTCAAAGCTGGATCCAAACCCTGGTTTAACCACAGGCGGTGGCTCAAAGCTGGATCCAGTCCCTGGTTTAACCACAGGCAGTGGCTCAAAGCTGGATCCAGTCCCTGGTTTAACCACAGGCGGTGGCTCAAAGCTGGATCCAGTCCCTGGTTTAACCACAAGCGGTGGCTCAAAGCTGGATTCAGTCCCTGGTTTGACCACAGGCGGTGGCTTAAAGCTGGATCCAGTCCCTGGTTTGACCACAGGCGGTGGCTCAAAGCTGGATCCAGTCCCTGGTTTGACCACAGGCGGTGGCTCAAAGCTGGATCCAAACCCTGGATCTCAGCGGTGCCAGATCAGCGCTTTGACCTCTTGGCTGGTCTTTACAGTCACTGAATCTGAGTTGGCCAGGTGACTCAAAGGTCAGAGCACTTAGCTAGCACCACGATGATCCTGGGTATCAGTCACCTGTGATGTTCACCAACCAAATCATTGCATTCAATTGAGATCTTTCACTAATTTTGTCCAAAATTTCTGCCGTGGTCATTTAATCAAATTGGCCCGTTTTCAATGGGCCGAGTCCCGAATAGGAACACATCTTTACACCAAAGTTTCGTTCACACTGAATCATCCCTAAGAGAGTTATCACCCCCTGCCGCAACCCTCAACCCGTCACAGACAAGGCGGACTGCACTAATGTGTGAACGCGTTCAACCGTAAAATTTTGATTTAAAGCTTTCGTGACTGCAGGGATTCATATTCTTGGTTCTTTTGGTAAAGTCACGTAGAAGGGAAATAATAAAATAATATCGTAAAAATTCTCACGACGTTTCGACTGCAACACAAGCAAACATTATCAGGTGTGAAATCCACGGCAAGAAATTTGTATTATTTCCCTTCTACGTGACTTTACCGAAAGAACCAAGAATACGCGTTCAACCGTAGTTGGGGAAATCGTTGCGAGCTCCTATTCCCACGCCAGGGTTGGTGACGTATGCTTGCCCCCCGTTTCCCCCCGTTGCAACGTTTGCGCGACCGCAGGATACCTCCCTAACTGCGTGGTGGCCGTGGAGGCGATGCTGGCCGCTTCGAGCATCGGCGCCATCTGGAGCGCCACGTCCCCAGACTTTGGCACCAACGTGAGCCTTGTCCCTGATCGTTGCGCGCGCCCAGCCCGGCACAATCGCCGCGGTGACGTCACCGCCGCTTGGTCTTGTTGGTCAAGTGGGGGGGGGGGGGGGGGGTAGCTGTGGCGCAGTGGTTAGAGCACTACGCTTTGAATCCAGTTATCCTGAGTTCGATTCCTGTTCATGGCCAACATCGGTGACGAATATCTGAAATGGTTCTGCTTCCCCTTCCGAGGTCGACTCAGCCTTATGTGGTGTGTAAACGTCAGTATTGAGAGAGACAAAGGCAGCCGGGCGGCCTCCATAGGTGCTCGCTAACAGAACGTGCCCCAACAGTCTGTTAAAGGCTATACAGGGGAATCTTTGTATTTCTTGAAGTATGTTCAAACAGTCCCCTATGTCCGACACAGTATGGGGAGGAAGCCTTCATCCAGTCACGAGGGTTATCTGACCATACTTCACCACGCTGGTCAGAGTGAGTGGTGATGGTGTGGGGGTGGAGGGGGAGCGGAAGAATTTTTTATTTTTCTGCACTGCCCCCTGCTGCCCACAACCGCTATTATCCACGCCTGTCTGAAATTCGTATTGTGGTCACACATCCACGCACTATCTAAGCTCAAACCCGCTTCGCTTCCGAGGTCTGCTGGGAGCAGATACTGCCCGGGCGATTTGGTCAAGATGTACCGATTCTTTGCAAAGCGGGTGACTCGACTACCGTGGCTCTCGTATCGTATCGTACATAGCTACGCCAGCGTGTTGCCATCGCGACAACCAAGGACGTACTGGAATTCCATGGCTTCAAATTGACTATGGTTACCCTCCCACCTGAACAACAATGTGAGGCTGAACTGCCGATTGTATAAGACACATGTCCGCGTGTGTTTATACAATATAAGCACCCTTAATCTAATTGACGTTTCTGTAATTAATTTTAATCTGAACGTTTATTTGTTTTTAAGTTATTTGCCCCAGCCACCTTTGGTTGCAGGATGATATTTATTTAATAGTTACTTATACTTGCACACCGCAAAGCAGTCGTTCGATTTGGGGTTTTTGTTTCCTCTTTATTTTTTCTTTCTTGCGTCATTGTCGTCCTCGGTTTTTAAATCTCATTGCCCCTTGTCATTTTGGCAACACACCAGGCCTGTTCTTCTTGGTTCTTTCGGTAAAGTCACGTAGAAGGGAGTAATAAAATAATAAAAATAAAACATAATAAAACAATTCTCACGACGTTTCGGCCACAACGCAAGTAGCCATCCTCAGGTGAAAACCAGGTCTGTCGAGGCGACAGCGTCTGACCTGGTTTTCACCTGAGGACGGCGGCTTGCGTTGTGGCCGAAACGTCGTGAGAATTATTTTATTATGTTTTATTTTTATTATTTTATTACTTCCCTTCTACGTGACTTTACCGAAAGAACCAAGAAGATGAATCCCTGCAGTCACGAAAGCTTTAAATCGAAATTTACACCAGGCCTGGCTTTGCACAAGAGACTCCTCGCCATCTCATCAATTGACGACTTCTCGCCTGGTTTAACAAAATTACGCGGTAAAGCCATCCCCCTCGCCTCCCGCCCCGTCTTTGGCCGAGTGACCGCCATGCGGACGCGACGTTCGGTTGTTTTCCTGCCGCAGGGAGTCCTGGACCGGTTCTCGCAGATCCAGCCCAAGGTCATCTTCTCGGTCGAGGCCGTGGTCTACAACGGCAAGACGCACGACCACATGAGCAAGCTGCTGTCCGTTGTGCGAGGTGCGTGACCGTCGCTCGGATTATTATTGTTGTTGCTATTATCATCATCATCATCATCTTGATAAAAACTACATTATAATCCCCCTCCCCAAAACATTTTCCGTGATTATTTCACCCGTTGATTCCTCCGCCCATGTTGAGGACCCGGTCTACCAGACTCACGAGTTTCATCCCCATCACACTTTTTCTCTCTGTTTCTTCCCTCGCACTGCTTGACTCTGGAATCCCCTCCACCCATCGTCTCTTTTCTCCAAGTTCTCATGACAACGTTGCTCAATTCCAAGAAACTTCTTAACTCCTGTTATCTCTCACACCTTCAATCGTGCTGTTTGTTACTGGCTGATTCGAGCCTCTGCTCAGCAACCGTGAATAAAAATAAAAATAAACATTCCGTGCATTGGCAAAGACTTGGAAGGTGTACGTAATTATTATTTGATTATAAGTTTAATGACGGGATGTCAATTAATGCATCCTTACATCCCCTACTACGTCACGCAGCCGGTTGATTAGACCAATCTCAGGTGACGCCGTGTCTATTAAACGACCGCCAACATCGCAAATAGAGATATAAATGGCCCCAAGTGAAAATGAAAACGCCGAATCAATCGTCGTCAATCGCGCTAATCGCCGCGGCTCTTCTAGGATCACTGTCAGGCATGATTTGCCACAATCCCCTGTGTGCCTTGGGTGTTCCTCTGCAGGCTTGCCAGACCTGGAGAGTGTCATCGTGGTCCCTTACGTGGGAACCAGGAAGAACATCGACCTCTCCACCATCCCTAACAGGTGCGTGCGCGTGTGTGTACTGGCGTGTGCGAGTCATTTCAATCCGCTGACTCGGAACACCTGGGTCAGTCCCGTGCCCTCCTGTCAGTAGCGAGCCTTTGACACTTCACGCGGCCTCAAGGTGCACCGGCACGAGCGCCGTGGTGACGATACCGGCACTTGGTGGTAAATAGTGGCTGTTGTTGTGGGCGATTGCACCTGCGTCCGTGCACATGTGCGTGCGTGCGGTCCTCACAAGAAAGGGGGACAAAGGGGGTTCGACTTCTCGATCGGGGTCCCAAGCTCAGGGTGGGCCCCCCAAAAGCGACAAGAAACCTACTTGTTTACTTATTAACTCTGACGACGTACTTTCGGGTGGCTGCACCACGTATTGTTCGGCACAATGTCCAACATTTCGCTCCTCGTCCTGCGAGCTCCTTCTTGACCAAAGGAGCTCCCAGCGGCGTGGAGCGAAACGTCGAACATCGTGCCGAACAACACGCGGGGAAACCCAAAAGCACATGGAAGAACAGCAACAGAACCGTGACAAAACTACGCAGTCGAAAGACATTTACTTTTATTTGATTTATTTTCTGCACAGTTGGGAGCCCCCAGCTAACATCAGGCACCGGCAACCCGAATTTGTAGAGACAGGCGTGCGTGCACATGCGCTGCCTCACTCGTTAGCGCAAAGGGTAAAGCGCTGCGTCGTGTCGCTCCGCCGATCGATGACGTCGCCTAATGGCGCCGTTGGGCGGTGTCTGAGACGCACGGCGCTCTGGAGAGCGGCGCTCCGCGTTAATGGACAGGGGGTGGGGAGGTGGGGAGTGGGGGGAGTGGGGGGGGGGCAGGCTTCTCCGTATTGATCCACGCCAGCGGTTTGCAGCTCCGACATCCGTAGTCAATACGGCAGCGTCGCGCGGCCGCGGGCTCCTGCAGGAGGCTGCGCCGTTGCGCGCACGGAATGTTCAGCCGCGTAACGACACAGCCCCCCCCCCCCCCGACCCCATCCTCCTCCCCTTCACAAACCCCCCAGCACCCCCGCCCCCACCCCAGCAGCTGAATTGTTGCCATGCAGAGGCTCATAATTCTATTCAAGACTTAATTATTTTTTTATTCCTTACAATTGCGGTGGGTTCTGCAGGGCTAGATTTATGTATCTATGCCGCTGGGACTTCAGGGCAGAAAATAAGCCCCGATATTCAAAAACAAAGACTGATGCGCCCGTATAGTCTTTACTAGACTCTTGGGACAAGTGCTGTTAGCGAGCACATGATGGGGTGGGAGGCCAGCACCACAACAGACCACCTTTGTCTCCCCAGTGGTGATGTTTAATCACTGGGTGTAATCCCAATTGTAGCACTGTAGTTTGCTTGTAATCTTTCAGCTTTGAGATGTTTTGGCCAATGCCAGTTACATGGTATGGGAGGAAATCCGAGAATCCGGAAAAAGCTCATGCAGAACCGGGAGAGAGAGAATAATCAAACTCCACACAGCTACTCACTCACACTCTGCAGAACTGGGGGAGAGCATACAAACTTCACACCGCTACTCACTCACACTCTGCAGAACTGGGGGAGAGCATACAAACTTCACACCGCTACTCACTCACACTCTGCAGAACTGGGGGAGAGCATACAAACTCCACACGACTACTCACTCACACTCTGCAGAACTGGGGGAGAGCATACAAACTTCACACCGCTACTCACTCACACTCTGCAGAACTGGGGGAGAGCATACAAACTTCACACAGCTACTCACTCACACTCTGCAGAACTGGGAGAGAGCATACAAACTCCACACAGCTACTCACTCACACTCTGCAGAACTGGGGGAGAACATACAAACTCCACACAGTTACTCACACTCTGCAGAACTGGGGGAGAAAATACAAACTCCACACAGCTACTCACTCACACTCTGCAGAACTGGGGGAGAGCATACAAACTCCACACAGCTACTCACTCACACTCTGCAGAACTGGGGGAGAACATACAAACTCCACACAGTTACTCACACTCCTGAGAACTGGGGGAGAGCATACAACACCCAACACAGTTACTCACTCACACTCTGCAGAACTGGGGGAGAGCATACAAACTCCACACAGCTACTCACTCACACTCTGCAGAACTGGGGGAGAGCATACAAACTCTACACAGCTACTCACACTCCTGAGAACTGGGGGAGAGCATACAAACTCCACACAGCTACTCGCTCACACTCTGCAGAACTGGGGGAGAATATACAAACTCCACACAGCTACTCACTCACACTCTGCAGAACTGGGGGAGAGCACACAAAGACCACGCAGAAAGAGCGCGTGTCCCCCCACTGCGCCGTCGCCGCCGCCTTTCCACCGAACGAGCGGTGCCGCCCCTGCGCCCCGGTGTGTGTGCAGCATGTTCCTGGAGGATTTCCTGGGCCTGGGTCGCCTCGCCGGGGGCCCAGAGCCACAGCTGGAGTTCGAGCAGCTGCCGTTCAACCACCCGCTCGTCATCATGTACTCGTCGGGCACCACGGGGGCGCCCAAGTGCATGGTGCACTCCGCAGGGGTAAGCGACGCACCCGTCCGCGCTCGCTCGCTCGCTCAAATAGCTCTCTCACGGTCCCGTCACTCGTTTTTATGAAATTCTCACCGGCTTCGCCCGCTTGTTCGCTCGTTCACATTCGAACTCACTTGCTCGCAAACGCGCTCGCCCACTCGCCCACTCGCCCACTCGGTCGCCCACTCGCCCACTCGGTCGCTCTCTCAATCAACACTCGCTCACCCGCTTGCTTTGGTCGCTTTCTCTCTCGCCCAACACTCGCTCGCCATCGCACTTGCTTTCTCGCCGGCTCGCTCACTCGCTCGGTCTCGCATCAGCTTTTTCGCTCGCACACTCGATCGCGACGTTCGCCCCGTGCAACCGCAGGGCCGGATGGGCAACGCGTCCGGCCTCTGGATCGCCACAGATGGTTAGCGAGCACCGTTCGGCCACACAGCTGTTGAGCCAAGCAGGTGTCACCGGCAGCAGCCTGGCGCATGCGCGTGAGCTGACGAACGCACCATTGAGCATCTCTCTGGCCCCGTGAGCCAGACACAATGCCGATTAGCGCATTCGCAATTCAGTTAACTGCCCCTTGCCAATCCGCTGCTGGATCAAGGTTTTCCCATTCCATGTCGGTCACTGCGGTTGTTTGGTTGGTGAAGGAGTGTTGAGTGCCCAGGACCTAGTAATAGTAATTGGTTTTTACCCTTTCAACTGGTACAAAAACTGACACCTTTATACAAGGCATCATGTTTGCAATAACCACAACACAAGCAGTGAACATGTAAACAAAATATGATGATAATGATAAGCACTGTCCTTGAAGTTGATTGGTCCACACCCGAGACAGCTTTTCTTAGAGCCTAGTGTCCATTGGTGTTGAACAAGATGATGCCAAAAGGCGTACAACTCAAAGACAGCGCACTATCAGAGTATTGTTTGCATTTTGACTGCTTGTGTTGTGGTTATTGCAAACATGATGCCTTGTATAAAGGTGTCAGTTTTTGTACCAGTTGAAAGGGTAAAAACCCATTGCTATATTTTGCCACTGGTAAAGGAGATGTCTCATAGTGCCCAGGACCTGTTTCATACGTTGCTCACACGCCGCTATCAGCCACAGGGCCAGGAATCGAACACAATTCGTGGTTCATATTCTTGGTTCTTTCGGTAAAGTCACGTAGAAGGAAAATAATAAAATAATAAAAATAAAACATAATACAATAATTCTCATGACGTTTCGGCCACAACGCAAGCAGCCGTCTTCAGGTGGAGAACAGGTCTGTCGAGAAGGCAGAGTCTGACAGACCTGTTCTCCACCTGAAGACGGCTGCTTGCGTTGTGGCCGAAACGTCGTGAGAATTATTTAATTATGTTTTATTTTTATTATTTTATTATTTTCCTTCTACGTGACTTTACCGAAAGAACCAAGAAGATGAATCCCTGCAGTCACGAAAGCTTTAAATCGAACACAGTTCATGGTGTTTATATTGTCGGCGCCGATCATCAGAGGTGGCAGCGCACAGCTGTCCGGCCTCAGGTGCCACCGGATGACGGCCTGGCACCCACGCGCTAACGAGCGCGTTATGGCCTGGCGCTAACGAGCTTGCCATCACGCAGGGAACGCTCATCAAGCACCTGCAGGAGCACATGCTGGCCGGGGACATGTCCAGTGATGACACCATCATCTACTACACCACGGTGAGCTCCCCACCTCCCCCATTCTCCCCCACCACGCACCTCGCCCACACACACACACACCAGTGTGGCAATCTGGAGTGCCATCTGCCGACGTGACCAATTGATGGTGGGGCTCCACTTAGGAGGGGCTGTAGGGACGGGAGGAGGGTGGGGCGCGAGTGCGAATGTCGATGGGGTGTCTTTGTGTGACGTGTCGGTCTGGAGTGCCGTGTGCGTGCGTGCGTGCAAATGCGTTTGTGTTCATAATGAAGGTTTTTGGGTTAGATTGCGTAATAAAAAATGTATTGTAACCCTCCACCACCCGACACAGCCAGTAAGGTTTGTCATTTTTGTTGCCCGATGTGCGTGCATGCGTGTACGCGTTAGTTTGTACCATATGTGTGAGATAGCGTATCCAATTGCCAACTTTGGTGTGAGCTGGAACATTAATAATTTGCACGTAAAATGCTTGTACGCCACGTGACAGTTTAATTGTTTGGCTGTTTTGGGCGATAGAGGGTCTTCACGACAAATATTTATCCAGATCATTACATTACGCGGCATAATCCAAAAATCTATTAGGAATTCCATAACACTGGCCGGCGAAAACGCGCATGTTCTTAGGTTTTTTCGGTAAAGTCACGTAGGTAAAAAATTTAAATTAATAAAAGTAAAATAAAAAAAATAAAAAATCACGACGTTTCGGAGGCAACACAAGCTTCCGTCTTCAGGTGGAACCGTCACAGCCCCACCTGAAGACGGAAGCTTGTGTTGCCTCCGAAACGTCGTGATTTTTATTTTTTATTTTTATTTTACTTTTATTAATTTTAATTTTTTACCTACGTAACTTTACCGAAAAAACCTAAGAATATGAATCCTTGCAGTCACGAAAGCTTCAAATCTAGAAGAAAACGCACATGTTGAGCGTGCGAGTGTGCATTACTTATTCCCAGGCGGGGTGGATGATGTGGAACTGGCTGGTGACGTCGCTGGCGGTGGGAGCCAGCGTGGTTCTGTACGACGGCTCGCCTCTCATCCCCACGCCCACCATCCTCTTCGACCTCATCGACAAGCTGGGGTGAGCATTGGCACTCGCGATGTGAATCCAAATGACATTCACCGTACTAATCCACCAGCCTGTCGGCTCTCTGAGAGCAAATAGTATCCAGAATTATATAAGCAAGCAAGCAAGCTGTGGACCGGTTTCAACCTGCTTGGGTCTCAGTAGCTGGCAGGCTTGTTAAACCAAATGCTGCTCGCTAGCCAGCTGACCAGACGGTATCGGTAGCAGAGTTCTTAGGGTCGGTTCCGATATCACTTCTCCCCAGCCGGGAATCCAACTCGGAACGCCCCCGTCCACAGTCGCAGCAGGCACTAACGCTGCGCCGCCTCTCTGTACGCTTTACGCATTTAGAATGTCTGTTTGCCAAATGACCACATTAGCGGCTTGCGTCCGTCCGGTTGCCATTAATAGCCACGAGCAGAAGGAATAAAAACAGCGAGCGGGATATTAAGAGGATTATGTTTGACGAGCTGCATGACCCCCCCACCCTCGGCCGCATTGTTAGGTTATGCGCGCGTGCTGTTTGTTCTGTGCTTGTGATGGAAAACACACACGTGTGTCGCGCGTGGGTGTGTGTGTGTTGTATTTTGGTTTCTGGAACAGGATCACCATTTTTGGCACAGGTGCCAAGCTGCTGTCACTTCTAGAGGACAAAGGTCTCAAGCCTGGTAAGCCGCCTCCCTCCGTCCTCCCACCACTCCCCACCACCGCCCACCCCCCCCCCCCCGCTACCGCCCCCCCCGCCACCGCCCCCCGTGACATCTTTAAACTTTGCACATTCTCCCGGAACTACGTAAGCCCTTTTGATCCCTGAGCCGTAATGTCCAATTTTTGCACCATCACCGATCGCCGCAGAAACAATGGTCGTCGCACAAAAAAAAAAATAGCTTCCGATTCCGTTTTTAGATACAAAGTGATTTACATTTGTGTAATGTTCATCTTCTTGAATTGCACATATCTCATCCTGGACACCTCGGCGGTTGTTAAATTGGTTTACGATTAAATTGAGTCGGCAATCTGCAACAAAGCACGTCTGTGATTACCGTCCATGTATTTGCATTATACAGAGGGGATATCATTTTCTTGGCAGTTCCTCTGTGTCCGTGTTCCTGCGCATGCGTGCATTCGTGCGAGCATGCTGCAGTCATTGCTAATTCACGGCGCTGACTTTTAAGTCCTTTCCATGGTGATTTATGCGCAAGATAGCGCGGGGGCGCCGTTAATGCAAGCCACGCGGTTAATTGGATTTTTTAATAAATATTTACGAGTCTCTTGTCGAGTCCCGGACGGTCCGGCGTGTCGCCGTTTTGCATTCAAAATCGTCGGCATGGGTCGGGGTCGCGGCCGTCGTTATCGGGCGCCCAGTTTGTGACGCAACTTTCTGTGTCGGTCGGTAAAAGCGGAGCGAGTGTGGGGTGTGGCGCGGTGGGGCCCAGCCACAGCGCGTTCAACGCTTGCTGCGGAGCTCCGCGGATCGAATCCGGCAGCCCGCCCTGGTTAATGCTTAGGTTGTGTATTGACGCGTAAATATTGCGACGTGAAGTCTGTTTGGCAGCCGGCGATAACGATTCCCCGGTGACATTCAGAGCGAGTAGGCCATCGTGTGCCGCGGTCACCATCTCGACAAATGTGTCACCACGAATGACTCGATTGGGATTGCACGGAGAAGCAATGGTTGCCCACTTACTGGCAGACGAATGCTAATGCCAGGACAGGGCACTGCTGCCACTGGGGAGGGTGCCCTTTTCAATGTTTTAAAAGAGATGCGATGTAAATTTCTCATCTCGTCTAAAGCACTCTGCAGTGCGTCGTTGTAAAGGGCGCTCCGTCAAACGTAAAATCATCGTTATTTTCATAAAAATCTAGGTCACGACGTGGATTTCCTTAGTTTGAGAGTCAACGTTTGCCGTGTACGATCCCAATTGAGCATCTTTTGCAGTGTCATTTTTCCAGTTCGGCAAAGCCTGGACCCTGAAAGAGGGCCAGAACATAAAAAAAAAACTCCTCGCGGAAAGTAACCCTGAGTCAGGAATGGAACTCAGCCCTTTCTTTACTTCGAGATGCGAGCGTTAGCACCGCGCCGGCGGCACCCTACCGCCCGTTACTGATCGCCAACATCGTTGCCATCCACCAGCGGAGACGCACAGCCTGGCGAGCCTGCACACCATCCTGTCGACGGGCTCGCCGCTCAAACCGCAGAGCTATGACTACGTCTACACGCACATCAAGCGGGACGTGCTGCTCGGCTCCATCTCTGGTGAGTGTCACCAGCCCCCCGCCCCTGCCCCCCACACCGCAGCGCACCACCATTGTACGTGCGCACGTGCTCGTTCGGCTCGTAGGCTCTCGTAGCCAACATTTTGAATCGCAGTTAGATTTTTTCTAATTCTCATCAGGCCCCGTGGGTGCTAAGTGCAGTCTCCAACTCTTTGTTTTCTACTCTCTCTCCCTCGCTCTACTGGCCTCTCTATTTGCGTGCTCTGACGAAGGGCCATTTTCTCAAAAAATCGAATGTGAGTCCTGTTTTGACAATTGATTTTCAGGCTGGGTCACCTAATCTGACCAAATACGTATTTTTTTTATTCGGGGATGCCGCTGCTACTCGAGCTACGTTGGCCAGCGTGGAAGCGTAGGCCACAGATGCCCTCTGTAGGGGGCTCTCAAGAGACCCTTCCACCAGCAGCAGAGCTGGCGAGCGTTTGTAACGTAGCGCGCCTTCACCACGGCTCGTAACACCAACAACGTTTGCCGCCGCACGGAGGGGGCGCCGTACCCTACCGTACCATCGCGTGACGCGCGTCTCTCTCTCTCGCCATGCGCAGGAGGCACCGACATCATCTCGTGCTTCATGGGGCAGAACGTGACGCTCCCCGTGCACCGTGGGGAAATCCAGGCGTGCCACCTCGGCATGCCCGTGCAGAGCTGGAACGAGCAAGGTGAGGCCCGGCGTCTTTTTCTGCACCGCCTCCACCGCGTTCGATGAAGCCGTGCCGAGTCCGGCCGGTTCGGCCGGACTCCTGGGTGGTTTTTCTTTTCCGCTGCAAAAGCCGAGCCGTGACCGCTGACGTCACGCGGGACGAGCGCGGTGAACGGGTGGCGACGGGCTTGGGCGACATGGTGACACCACGTCCTCATGGCGTATCGACTCAGTTGAGCAGCTGGTTTCTCCCTCTGTTCTATCGTGGAGCGAAACGTTGGACACCATTGTTGAACGACGCTGTCAGGCACCACGCTGAACATCAGCAACACACGGTGCAACGTGAAGAGACCTTGACCGTAATCAGTTTTAACTCCTAGCAAACTAAAGAAAATCATTAATCAGCGATATGATGTCATTGCGTTGTGGGTTTCATGCGGGTCGGGGTTAGTTTTGCGATGTTTACTCCGAGATGAAACGTCTCCACTGGGAGCGTTCAGCTGTCGGTCTCTCTGAAGTTCCACGTGAGGTTTGGGCAGCGAACGGGAAACAAAATATCGCCGGCAGAGTGCTTTCCTAAACAAATTACTGCTCGACTCGGAAGCGAAATTATTTCTAAAGCATGAAAAAAAAGTTATAAACGCTTCCGACGTAAGGCACTTGTGAATTGAAACCCTTCTGGAATTGTAAATCTAGTCTGAAAATCTCGTCTGAATATGTAAGGGCCCCGACTGCAAGCTGTCAGGATAACTTCACAGGCCCCTTCTTGGTTCTTTCGGTAAAGTCACGTAGAAGGGAAATAATAAAATAATAAAAATAAAACATAATAATATAATTTTAGTGATTTGTTTTTATTATTTTATTATTTCCCTTCTACGTGATTATTATGTTTTCTTTTTATTATTTTATTATTTCCCTTCTACGTGACTTTACCGAAAGAACCAAGAAGATGAATCTCTGCAGTCACGAAAGCTTTAAATCGAAATTTTATTATGTTTTCTTTTTATTATTTTATTATTTCCCTTCTACGTGACTTTACCGAAAGAACCGAGAAGATGAATCCCTGCAGTCACGAAAGCTTTAAATCGAATTGTGAGAATTATTGTATTATGTTTTATTTTTTTATTATTGTATTACTTCCCTTCTACGTGACTTTACCGAAAGAACCAAGAAGATGAATCCCTGCAGTCACGAAAGCTTTAAATCAAAATTTTATTATGTTTTATTTTTATTATTTTATTATTTTCCTTCTACGTGACTTTACCGAAAGAACCAAGAAGATGAATCCCTGCAGTCACGAAAGCTTTAAATCGAAAAGGGCCCCATTTGCGCTTCGCGAAACGGCTGGCGCTTTGGAGCGCCCATGTCGCGGTGGTTTCCGGTGAAAATATTCCAGAGTTCCAATTCGTCGAGTCGAAATGTGATGACGTCTCATAAGTGGTGCCACAAATATCAACGACAGTTCTACCCCCGTATGTACCCAGGATAAAAAAAAATAACAACCTCACTTGATACATTTTTTTTACCCTTCTATCTGGCAACAAAACTGACACCTTTTTTTACAAGGAGTCATGTTTGCATAGACCACAATACCTGCAGTCATAATGCAAACAAAAAACATAACTCTGATAATGTATGCACTGTCCTTGAAGTTGATTGGTCCACACCCGAGACAGCTTTCCTTAGAGCCTAGTCTCACATGGGTTGGACCAGATGACGCCAAAAGGCGCACAACTCGAAGACAAACCTCACTTGAGTCTCAAGACTCGTTCTGTGGAGGGTCCTGCCACACGCGTGGATGCTCCGGGTTCGATCCCATTCCTGAGCATTTGTCTTCGTGCGGGAGGCATACAGAGAACCCGGAGAAAAAACCAGCACACCGTACACACGAGGGAGCGACATTCAAAAACTCCACGCAGATAGATTCAACAATCTACTGCTGTACTGCCATCGCCCGACCCACTCGTGCGCTGCGGGGTTGACGGATCGCGTTGTGGGTCCTCGTTTTGTGTCGGCAGGCGAGCAGGTGTTTGGGCAGAGCGGCGAGCTGGTGTGCACCAAGCCCATCCCGTGCCAGCCCACGCACTTCTGGAACGACCCGGACAACAAGAAGTACCACAAGGCCTACTTCGCCAAATTCCCCGGTGAGGAGCCCTGGCGACCGGTGTTCGCCCCAACCGCGCGGCGTGGAGCGGCGACACTGAAACACCGTGCCCCAGGAGCGCAGCACACACAGATGTTCCAGCCGTGCTGGGAATTACCAAACACCTGCCACCCCGCCAGAGGTCGCAACCGGGTACCCGATACCCGTACCCTACCCGATACCCGGCTACCCGTACCCGTACCCGCACCCGGCCGGGTACGGGTAGCCGTTTGCGACCCTGGTGCGGCCGGGTACAGGTACGGGTAGGCCGTGAGTCACTGGTGAGTAACCGTTTGTCACTCATTTCGGGTAGGGTACGGGTACGGGTAGGGAACGGGTACCCGGGTACCCATTTGCGACCCTGGTGCGACCGGGTACGGGTAAGGAATCAAAACCCGTTTGCGACTTCTGCAACCCGCCCCCTCCCCTTCCTCGTGATTATAACGATGGTTTTAGTGTTTTGAAGCCAAAAATCAGGGTCGGCTGCTCGGGTTTTCTCTCTCTGTGAGCTTCCATTCCGTGTCTCTTCTGCGGTCACATCCACCGTCCTCATACCTCGCTCCACCGCATCCTCCCCACCTCACCCTCGTCTCCCTTCCCCTCCGTGTGCCCTGCACCGGTGGCATCTCCATGGCCCCTCTCATCTACGGGTGGTCTCTGTGTGAGTCTATAGGTGTCTGTGCGAGTCTTTGCGAGTCTATGAGTTTATGTGCGAGTCTTTTGGTTTCTATCTGAGTCGATCGGTCTCTGTGAGTCTGTGGCTTCCTCTGCGAGTCTATAGGTCTCAATAGCCCTTCTAAATGCATCACCTTTGTCTCAGACCATATCGGTCTAATGTCCGTTACCTTCTCAGGGAAATATCTTAATAACCCAAGGCTCTAACTTCATCATTCCTCCTCCTTTCTCATAGAGATATTCCCAGCATTCTCATTTCTGTCGTTTAAACCTCTCTCTTCTCTGTTCCTTCCTCGGTGCAGAAAGATGTGTGCACTATATGACAGTACTGGTCATAACTCCATTATATATAAAGATATGTATTTTCCCGTATTATTATATTTGAATAATAGCGTAGAACCCTTAGTCCAGTGTTAGATGAAGGCCTCCACATGCCGTATCAGTCGTGGGGGGTTGAGGGGGGGTTTGACCATACTTCACCATGCTGGTCAGTGCGGGTTCATGAAGAGGGGGCCCAGGACCAGTTCAGACATCACTCGCCACTGATATCGCCGGGTTCTCCGCGCAGTGCGCTAACCGCTGCACCACCGCTCCCCACCCCACTCCGTCATAGGATCTGTTAAAATCACACTCTCGTTAGTTCTACAAAGAAATATCATTGGAGGCAAAGAACAAAATGTAGCGTCGCAAGACTGTGAGAGATGGCAACGGCTCGGGGAGGCCGTCATCCAGCAGCGGATCAGGCATGGCTGATGACGACGTTGATGTGGTGTTCCCTGTGCAGGGATCTGGGCCCATGGAGACTACTGCAAGATCAACCCCAAGACGGGGGGCATCATCATGCTTGGCCGAAGGTGAGAGAGCACACACGGCGCGCGGGGGGGGAGAGGGGCACTCTGCCCCCCCCCCCTCGTTTCGTTAAGAGGGTAGAGGTATCGATTTAAAGCTTTCGTGTCTGCAAGGATTCATCTTCTTGGTTTTTTCGGTAAAGTCACGTAGAATGGAAATAATAAAAATAAAACATAATTAAATAATTCTCACGACGTTTCGGCCACAACGCAAGCAGCCGCCCTCAGGTGAAGAACAGGTCTTTCGGAAAGACAGCGTCTGAATGAACACCACCAGGCTTGGCTGCCAAGCCTGATGGTGTTGATTGGCTGCCAAGCCTGGTGGTGTTCATTCAGATGCTGTCTTTCCGACAGACCTGTTCTTCACCTGAGGACGGCTGCTTGCGTTGTGGCCGAAACGTCGTGAGAATTATTTTATTATGTTTATTTTTATTATTTTATTATTTCCATTTTACGTGACTTTACCGAAAGAACCAAGAAGAGGGTAGAGGTAGGAGAGTGCGTGGAGGGGAGAGTAGAGCGTGGAGCATTCTGCGGGGCTGTGCGTTCATCATCGACGGCGCTGTTTTTGTTTTCTCCCAGTGACGGGACCCTGAACCCAAACGGAGTTCGCTTTGGAAGCTCGGAGATCTACAACATAGGTTGGTGACACGCCGCTCGCTCCGCACCCCGCACTTCTGGCGCGCCCACGTGCGGGTCGCTTGCCCGCTTGCTGGTTGCACGCCCGGTATCCCCCCACGTCGCGCTACTCCGTCACTTGACGGGCCGTCTGGAGGAGCGGCAACGCAACCCACAGGAGAGCCGCGACGACGGCGATGACGCTGGTGGCATTGACGACGACGATGGTGATCTTCTTGGTTCTTTCGGTAAAGTCACGTAGAAGGAAAATAATAAAATAATAAAAATAAAACATAATAAAATAATTCTCACGACGTTTCGGCCACAACGCAAGCAGCCGTCCCCAGATGAAGAACAGGTCTGTCGAGAAGGCAGAGAAGGCAGAGCTTCAGACGCTGTCTTCTCGACAGACCTGTTCTCCACCTGAAGACAGCTGCTTGCGTTGTGGCCGAAACGTCGTGAGAATTATTTTATTATGTTTTATTATTTTATTATTTTCCTTCTACGTGACTTTACCAAATGGACCAAGAAGATGAATCCCTGCAGTCACGAAAGCTTTAAATCGAAAAGATCACGATGATGACGACGACGATTATAGTGATGATGCAGATGGTTGTGACGGCAGTGATAACAGTGATGGTTGTGATAGCGGTGTCAATTGATGATGGTGATGATGACAGTGGCGACGGTAATAGCGGTGATGACTGTGATGATCTTGACGACGGTGACCGTAGTAATGGCGCCGACGATTGATTATGACGATGGTGGCGGTGACGGGCAATGGCGGTACGATGACGGCGGTGATTTCGACGAACCGCGAACGGCGGACGCGGCGATGGGCGATGCTGACCTTGCGCGGTGGCTGTGCTCGTTTGCCGTGCTCCCTTTGCCGCGGCAGTGGAGGCGTTTGAGGAGGTGGAGGACAGCGTGTGCGTGCCGCAGTACGGCAGCGACGGCGACGAGCGCGTCGTGCTCTTCCTCAAGATGGTGCCGGGCCGCGGCCTCACGCAGGAGCTGGACAAGCGGCTCCGTGGCGCCATCCGCACGGCGCTGTCGGCGCGCCACGTGCCGGCACTCATCCTGGAGACCAAGGACATCCCGGTAACCACCACACGCACAAAACATCAACGGTTCCCCCGCCACTCCGTATAGCCTTCAACAGACTGCTGGGTGGGGCGAGTGCTGTTAGCTAGCACCTCGCGTGTCGTTTGTTGTTGTAACGTTCTCACCAACCCCGAGTGGACATCTGTGAAAAAGAGCTTCATTGTTCTTCTTGGTTCTTTCGGTAAAGTCACGTAGAAGGGAAGTAGTAAAATAATAAAAATAAAACATAATATTACTTCCCTTCTACGTGACTTTACCGAAAGAACCAAGAAGATGAATCCCTGCAGTCACAAAAGCTTTAAATCGAAACACCACGGCACTTGTGCCGAGCGTACAATAAAAATAACAAAAATATATATCACTGCTGCTGCTGCTGATAGTGATGGTGATGATGTGAGTATGTACGTGCTCTCCTGCTCTCTTTACCCTCTCTCTCCCTACCCCTCTCCGTCTCTCCTCGTGCAGTACACCATCAACGGCAAGAAGGTGGAGGTGGCGGTGAAGCAGGTCATCGCCGGCCAGGAGGTGGTGCAGCTCGGTTCGTTGTCGAACCCCGGAGCCCTGGAGCTTTACCGCAACCTGCCAGAGCTGCAGGGGTACTGACCGCCCCCCTTGCCCCCGTGGCCATCGCCAACCCAGACCCCCTCCGCGTTCCGGGGGTCAACGCTGGGGGTCGGCTCGAAGATTTTATTCGAGTGCTCGATTACGGTGACCGAATCTGACGGTTCGGTTATTCACGCGACTCAATCGAATAGCGCCAAGAAATATTTATCAGGGGGGGGGGGTTTGGGAAAAAAGTCTCAACTTTGACCTTCGCCCCCACCCTCCCCCACCCCGACATGTGCCGCTGGACGGGAGGCTCAGTGGCCGTAGTCAGCCGGGTCGTGGCGAGTCAGTGGGGGACGGGGGGGGGTGTTTCCCACCTTCGGGGGCCAAATTTCTGGGTCGAAAAAACCAGCCGATTATAACTGTTAGTGGATTCATCGACTGAGTCGGCGGGCCCAGCTCTAATTATCTTGAGTCTACCATGGGACATTTTTAGTTTTTAAGAAAGCGCAGCCCAAAAGAAAAACAATTACTTAAGACCGTATTCTCCAGATTATAAGCACCCTTTGCTACGTACGGTGCGAAAGAAGTTCAGCATACGCACATAAGACGCTTCAGAAAGTAAGACGGCCCCTCAAACTTCTGCCCATTGGCAATAAAGTTCTACAAATCTGGTCTCGAGCACAAACACACACAGCTACCCCCAACTTTGCTTTAATATACAGGGATGTGGAGGCGGAGGGAGTTTGTGTGCCTTACAATCCAGAGAATACGGTCATTATCTGTCCTGTGTACACAACTATTAAACTATTATTATTTTACCATGTAAGGCCCCCGAGGTAGGTATGACACCTACCTGGGCTGCGTGTCCCGCACTGCTCTGCAACAGGCTTCCCCCCCAATGTCTATTGTTTACACACTGAACCCGGTGCTCTCGTACAGACCGAGACAATCTCAAGAGAGGCCGTCGTTATCTGGGTCCAGGAATCGAAACGCCAGGTTGTCAGATGTGTTTTTCGTCACAGCCCCTACGTTTTAACGAATTCAAATAATCAACGCAGCCTGGTTTGCGTGGCTACAAGATAAGAGCTGCGGCTGCGTGTGTGTGTTTTTAATTTTTTAGGCCAAATCTAAACTTTACCAAAAAGAAAGGAGAGTCAACTCTGAACGCCTGTTCGGGGGAAGTTGAATAGGCGGTGGTGCGTGTGGTGTGGGTGGGCCCGCTGTGCGGTTAAACATTGGTGGTTTTGGTTTGTTGTCCTCCCGCACCTCCGATGGCTACGTACGGTGCGAAAGAAGTTCAGGCATACGGTTGAACATTTACACGTACGGTTGATGCTGTGGTTGTAATCATGAGCTGTTGTGCAGGGCGGTGGAGCGCTCATGTTGCAAGCGAGCTCCTAGCGCGCAACTCGGCTTACCTGGGAGCTTGCGTGGTACGTCTTAACACGTGTACAGCCCTTTTGTCGATCTACTTCTGGATGAGGGCCTCCAGACACCGTGCGGGTTATTGAGGGGGTTTACCGTACCAAAAACCTGTGCCTGGTGTGGTTAGAGTTCTACATATCTGCCCACCCACGCATACACACACACAGAATAACACCGACCGCATACCAACACGCACGCAGGCCAACATCTTGTGTGTCACCCCCAAAATCGTTGATTTTATATACAAACGGTCACAGGGGCACGTGACCATACTTCACTACACTTGTCAGTGGGGCTTGAAGAGCCGGTGGGGGGTGGGGGGGGTCAGCGTAGAAGTCGGCAATTAAAGCGGAGCGCCGGTCAGTCGCAAAGAGGCGCTATCTGTCGGCAGTGGCGTGTGCAGTCACACAGCGGTCAGTCACACAGTGACACAGCCACTAACCGCTGCACTGCCCTCTGCCGTGCATGACCCCCCCCCCCCCCATTGGGGTGGTAGGAGCGCCACATTCGGAGCAACGTTTCAATATCTACCCCCAACTTTAAAGAGACACTCAAAAGACCTTCCTCCCCCCAGCCCTATTTCTTAACCACTCCACAATTATTCCGCCTGGCTCCACACCTCAAGGGTTACATGCGGCGTCTGTGAAATACTGCGCGCATTTCAAGTTTCATTTTTATTATTTTAAACATTATGGACGGGGCAGCGAACAATGAAAAACCCCGAGGCTGTTACCCCCACGCGATTGGATGCGTGTTTCGTGAGCTGAAAGTCGATTGCATCGTTACTCAATGTACCGTGCAGGCTGCCGCCGCCGACTGGTCTAATGTTTTATATAAACTTTCGGCAGTTACCTTCGGGCCGCTAAATGTTAAGAGGATAACTTCCTCATCTTCTTTCGTATGGCCGATGTAGATGCGGTGCAACAACTACGATTCCACATTCGGGTGGTTTGAGGATAACTAACCATTGGACCAGTGGGCAGTGGTTTGGACTCGGGTACAAGGCAGTTACACACGGATCGATTCGTTCATTGTTCCACATGCTTGGCCCCAGCCCAGTCGATGCTCGCGCACACACCCGGACTACCTCGCTACTCTCCACTTGCTCGCTCGCTCACCCTGGCGGGGTGTGGGGGGGGGGGCTTAGCCGGAGAGACACTTTAGACAACATTCACAAAAATACCCAACGATTGAATCCCTATTGGAACCTCATTTGCCAGTAAAAAATATGATAATCGTTGTTTTACCCTTCTATCTGGCAACAAAACTGACACCTTTTTTTAGAAGGAGTCATGTTTGCATAGACCACAATACCTGCAGTCATAATGCAAACAAAAAACATAGCTCTGATAATGTATGCATTGTCCTTGAAGTTGATTGGTCCACACCCCTTTGTAGAAAAGTTGTAAATGTTGTTGAACGTCAGGAGGAGCGATTCTCAAACCCCCCCCCCCACCACCCCTCGCCTGTGAGCGATGAGAGACTGAACGTCACATGGCATGCTAGCTACAGTACCCGGGGCAGGCTGTGGACCAATACGAGTCGTGGCTGTCACAATCACACAGGGAGATTTTTTTTTAATATATATAGATGGGGGGGTGGGGGCGGGAACCAAATTGTGTATATAGTATCACTAAAACTCTGCTGTAAATGTTTAGGTAAAGATGCAGGCCAGCAATTGGCACGGTGGCGAGATGTGAACTACCTCGCCTGGTATGCAGGAGGTCGCGCGTGGGTTCGATCCCGACCCCTGTGACGCCTGCTGTATATTTGGAGTTCTCTCTCGCCGTGGTAGTGCGGTGTGCGGATTTTTCTCTGGGGCCTCCGGTTCTTTTCCCCTGCACATTTAGAAACGGTCTCTTGAGACTCTTCAGTGTCGTGAGGAGGGTCCCTGCTACATTGTGGACGTACAGCGTCACTTCCGTTGGCGACATTCTGGCTTCGCGTGGAGAGCAGCCCCCCGAGAACCAGGAGATACCCAGCATGCACCAGGCACGTGCCTGCTGCTTGGCTCTCAAGTATCAAGCGAGGCTTACAATCCCTGTTCAAAGTGGTTTTTATTATATATTAATATTTTGGGTGAGGGGGAGGGGGCTGGAATTCGGACTGTGGGGGCCTTAAAAATGTTTTTTTTTTTATCTTACCAGGTAAGGCCCACTGAGCTATATAGCTCTTTCAGAAGCGACCTGGCCACAAATGATAGCTCAACGAAGTGGCGTATCATCATCGCAGTCGCAGCCAATTACTCTGTGCCACCCCTTGCCCTCCGTAATGCCACCTCCACCCATGGAGTATTAAGTCGGAAGGTTTCGGTGGTGCCACAGTCGTGTATTCTTGTCTTCTCATTTCCCTGGCCTTGACCTTCCACGAAGCTCCTGGTCCGCCCTAAACCGCATCCACCGCACTAACCATGGCAGTAGATGCGGACGCACAAGTAATGGAAACTTAAAATCCCTCCAGCAGTGTGCGGCTCTGGTCATCCAGGACAGAGAACTCGCAACACCGCAATGCCGCGATCCGCAAATACGAAGGAGGAATCGCGGCGAGACATCTCCGCTGCCGCTCTTGACTATCTGGCTTCGCCGGCTCGAATGTGAAATTGATGTTGTTGCGCTGCATCAACATCGTCAGCCATACGGAGGAAGAAGATGAAGGCGAAGATTTCACCCACCGGGTGGTCCCAGGAGTCCACGCTTGGAGCCCCCCCCTACCCCCACAGCCCCCCTACCCCCACACCCCCACACCCCCCCATCAATTGTCGCTGTTTCGTTGTAAATGCAGAGGTTGGGCGGTGGAGGGGGGAGAGATCTCATGTTTTATTTGCTGATTTAAACATTGTCGTCGCCGTTGTTTTAGGACTTGTCATAAATTATATATATAAAGTTTTATCGTATCTTTACTTTCATGTTTTGTTATTTTGTTTATTTTTTTGCAATGCTCGCGCCGCCCAGTCTGGTTTTAGATACCGGGGGGTAAGAGACCTCCGTGGAGTAGAACGCCTCTGTGGTCTCTGATGCCCCCCCCCCCCTTTTATCAAGACGTCATCTTCTGTTTTCATTTTGGTGCGTTGACGACTATCACTCGAGATTCCTGGCCACTGCTCGGCAATGGAGGTTGCATGCAAGTTTAACGAGTGCATTCGTTGGTGTGACAAACGATGACTTGTCCTCATCGATTAATCGTACCCTTGTAACGGTTGGCTACGTACGGTGCGAAAGAGGTTCAATGTACATTGAGGAGGGGTGGGGGGATTGGTGGTTGGCAGGTTGTGACCGTCACTACGTGCAATAGATCACAGCAGTCAGAGGCGCTGAGCCCGGCACCATTGAGACCCCTGGGTTCGATCCCAGTCTTTTCAGCCATCCTCGATTGAAACCAGATTCTCAAGGGAGGCGAGTTGATGGTGTGTAGGCCCGGGTAACCAAAGAATGCGAAACTAGAAAAGCCATCTTGTTTAAAATCTGATTTCCACTTGAAACATGAAAACAAAAACATCCATGGCGGATGAGAATGTTACACAACATATCTCAATTTGAGTGTCAGGCAAGGGAACATTTATCTCTTGTCACGCGGGACAATGCAGCATCCCTCCAGTGCGTGGATGAGAGAGGTCACTCCGAATGGCTCTCAGAAGCAGTTTTGTGATAGCTGCTTCCGCGGTTTATTCTCTGAACACGGGAAGTGGGGGGAGCGGTGGTGATTGACTGCTTACTGCGACTTCTCACGCAATTAGAATTTGGGAGGGGAAGGGGAGGGTGGCGTGAACCACAGAATAATATAAACAAACTCTCCTGCCCTTTGTAAATCCACTGCTGGATGAGGACCCCCCCCCCACACACAAAAGTGGGACGGTGGAGGGGAGTGGGCGAACCATATTTCACCACCACGCCGGTCAGTGCACGGGTTGGTGGTGGAGTAGTTTGGCAAAGGTGGACGCGATCGATGTTTCCGCGATGCCCACCTCCCCCCACCCTGTGCCGCCCGTACAGTCGCCCCCCGCGGCAGCCTGTAACACCTGTTACGCATTGTCTCACGTGTCGCAGACGATGAGGACGACAGCAGGCAGCCTCTCGGCGTGTTTGCAGCGGTTAAGAGTTTGTAGTGGCGAGTAGCTCCCAGTGTAAGAGGAACATCAACAACAACAACTTCTTCTGTCGTGGCTAATTGACGGTAGCAACGTGTCGCGACTTGCAACCCCAAAGGCCGCCGATTCGATCTCTCGGCGCGGCACTTGAACGGGTCGCCACGTTTCTTAAATCCACCCCCAACTTGCCGGCCTCTGTCCGCCCAGCAGTGTAGATGGGGAACACCACAAGTTGGGTGTCGCGTGGTGGGGTAAAGCGTGGGTATGTCCGCCTTTTTTTTCACTAACGGTGAATATATGCACCGGTCCTGGGTCTCCCCTAGGTCGGGTCGACCTTAAATAAGTGTGTGTGTATGTAAAACATCAGAACTGGGGAGATAGGCGGCCCGGCTTCGGTAGGTTACTCGCTAAGACAGCACTTGCCCCATCAGTCTGCGCGGCTATACGGGGGACCTTTGTCTTTGTTAGGTGTCACAATGTGTTCGTCAACGGCACTTGCTCCGGCAAGTCTGTACGTCTATACAGGGAGTGGGGGGGGTCTTTGTCCATGGAAGTGGTGTTAAGTTACTCAAATAAGTGCTGTCCAAGGTACGCGACATTCCGCCGCTTCGCAGATCAATAGAATGCAGATCGTTATGAATCATATATCGTCTTGGCTGCTATCGCCCACGCGTTAATCCCTCCAGTGTGTGTCCACGTCCGCGCAATATGCCGCCAGGGAGTACAATCTCTTTAAATGCTGTATTGTGAAGATAAGTACCGTATGTGAAGCTGTCGGCCTGCGCTTAAACAACCTCTTCTCCGTGTTTTTTTTTTTATGAAATCGGCTCCGCTCGTCGCTAAGGCTTTATGACCCCCCCCACACACACATATCCACCCGCCCACTATACCTCGCCTCGTCCTGTGTATTGTTATATTAACAATAGTGTGATCGGATGTACTATCCATAATCACGTGATCGCCGTAATAAATGGGTGCGTGCTCTGGTCGTATCGAGCGAGTGTGTGTTTGTGTGTGTTTGCTAATTTTATATATTGTGTATTTTGGAGCGATGGTGTAGCGGTTAGCGCGCTGCGCTATGAACCTGGCGACCCGAGTTCGATTTCCCCCCACGGCCAACACCCAGTGACGATTATCTGAACCGGTCCTGGGCCTCCCTTAGGTCGACTCAGCCTCATGAGTACCTGGTGTGGTGTTGGCCATGCACTGCCCTCGTGTACCGTGTCGGCCTTAATAGGTGCTCGCTAACAGCACTTGCCCCAACAGTATGTTAAAGGCTATACGGGGGATCTTTGTAAGACGCAGGCAGGAGTAAGAATAATGCCCTTTGTTTTGACCTGGGAAATCCACAATGACTCTCAATACGTCTCGTTTACGGGGGTCTTGCTGTCGTTTCAAACGCTGTTCAATCTCAATCATAACCTCTCCCCATTATCCTCGTAGCACAAGCAGCTACATATGTAGCTACCACATAAGTAGCTACATAATATAAGTAGCAACTACATAATATAAGTAGCTACATAAGTAGCTACATAATACTACGGGCCCCGCACTTCCAAGGGCCCCGCGCTAAACGCTTTCAAGCTATAAATTCCGGTTCAGTGATTCTGCACTTGCTCTATTACTATAGTACTATACCGCCTTCAACTTTTACGAACGACTGGGTGTTTAAGGTTAGCGATTTGTCGTAGTATCTGGCTGTGTAGCAAATGAAAACATACAGTTACTTTACTGTGCAAGTTAAAAATGTGTTTTAATATTAATGTGTTGTTTTTATTTAGGCTCCCTTCATAACATATGCAACAGGCCCCGCACTAGCTTAAGGGGCCGTCCATAAATGACGTCACGCACCTAGTGGGGGGGGGGGGGGAAGGTCAGACATTTGTGACGATGTGTGACGAAGGGGGGGGGGGGTGAGAAATGTGACGTCACATCAAAATGCGCAACTTTAAATAAATATAGACAACACGTTCTACTTAATTAATTAGACTTTTTAATAAATGTTTTCTCCTACAACATCAGAGTGCAGCGCCACATTAAATATGACGTCATATTTGAGGGGGGTGGGGGGTCTGACTTTTTGTGACGAGGTTAACAATCGTCCAAAATCGCGTGACGTCATTTATGGACGGCCCCTAATCCGGCACTATTAAATCCTCCCAACGAATGGGTTCTGGGTTGCATCCCACGCGGCAGGAGAGCGGAGAATTAGCGTGAGTTTGGGGTTAGGGGCCGTCCATAAATGACGTCACGCGATTTGACAATTTTTCACCCCCCCCCCCTTCGTCACACGGCGTCACAAAAAGTCAGACCCCCCCCCCCCTCAAATATGACGTCACAAAGCTCTGCCCCCCCCCCCCAAAAAAAATAAAACATGCTTCAAATCGCGTTAAACTATTGTCATTGTAGTGCGTATTTAATGTGCCGCTGCACTCTGATGTTGTAGGAGAGAACATGTATTTGAAAGTCTATTTAATTAAGTAGAACGTGTTGTCTATATTCATTTAAAGTTGCGCATTTTGATGTGACGTCACATTTCTCACCCCCCCCCTCCTCGTCACACATCGTCACAAATGTCTGACCCCCCCCCCCCCCCCAGGTGCGTGACGTCATTTATGGACGGTCCCTTTGGGCTTCACGTGCCAGAGCGCTGAGTCCCGCGTGTGTCCGCTAGAGGCCGCTGTACCCTCACTCGTCCGAGTGGCTCTCACCGACGGCAATGAACCAATTCCCTTGTGATTGAACCAGTCGGGGAGGATTGGGTGATTGCTGCTACTGCTGCTGCGTTGGCAGTGGTGCAGATTCACAGTCAACAACAACAACAACAAACTGGTCAATAACAACACCGTGGCCTCAGAAGGAAAACTAAATATAATAGTTTCGATTTAAAGCTTTCGTGGCCGAAACGTCGTGAGAATTATTTTATTATGTTTTATTTTTATTATTTTATTACTTCCCTTATACGTGACTTTACCGAAAGAACCAAGAAGATATATATAATAGGTGACGTTTCGTGCACGGGTCCTTCTTCGTAGTACATAAATCGCTAAATATACTCATTCGCCACCAACACTGCCCGATACCACCACACACGACAGCCCTCGAACAGCATTGCCGCTACCAGGGCTGTGGTCTACACGCAGGAGAGTTGTTTCTGATGTAACTGTTAAGTTGAGATGCTACTACACCTTTGTTGTGTGTGTGTCTCTCTCTGTCTCTGTGTCTCCGTGTCTCACTCTCTCTGTCTCACTCTCTCTGTGTCTCTGTGTCTCACTCTCTCTGTGTTTCTGTGTCTCTGTGTCTCACTCTCTCTGTGTCTCACTCTCTCTGTGTCTCTGTGTCTCACTCTCTCTGTGTCTCTGTGTCTCACTCTCTCTGTGTCTCTGTGTCTCACTCTCTCTGTGTCTCTGTGGCTTTGTCTCTGTGTCTCACTCTCTCTGTGTCTCACTCTCTCTGTGTCTCTGTGTCTCACTCTCTCTGTGTCTCTGTGTTTCTGTGGCTGTGTCTCTGTGTCTCACTCTCTCTGTGTCTCACTCTCTCTGTGTCTCTGTGTCTCACTCTCTCTGTGTTTCTGTGTCTCTGTGTCTCTTTCTGTCTCTGTGTCTCTGTGGCTTTGTCTCTGTGTCTCCGTGGCTGTCTCTGTGTCTCTGTGGCTTTGTCTCTCTGTGTTTTCCTGTCCCCCTCTGTCTCTGGTCACTCCGCTAATCTCTCTCCATTACCTGCACAGGACGATGTCGGTGGTGTGGGTGGGGTGTATGATGATTGTGGTGGTGGTGGTGGTGCATGTGCTATGGTTTATTAGGGTGGTGGTGGTGGTGTGCTATGGATGACGATTGTAGTTTTGATGGTGGATGCGTATGCTATGGATGACGATGATTGTGTTTGTGGTGACGGTGCGTGTGGTGTGGATGATGATGCTGGTGTTGGTGGTTGTGTCGCTGAGTAGTGGGGGGCGGGGGGGGAGTGGGCGGACGCGTGGGTGCCCGGGGAGAAGGGGAGAGCTGCATTACTCGGGATTGTGAATTCTAGGAGGGTCTTAATTTTCGCATTAGCGGTGGCATCACGCGCTCCCTAATGGCCCCGTGCATTACCGCGATGCAAAGTGTCGGGGAATTGATGATTCCGGGTTCTCATCCCGGATTTTGGGAGAGTCACGCACAAATATTTCGTATCTGAACAAATGCAGTGGGGGGAGCGGTGGCGCAGTGGTTAGCACACTGCACGACACGAGATCGCTTCTGTGCTTGCGGGCAAAACCGGTGACGATCGTCCGAACCGCTCCCGGACTTCCCCTCCCCCACCTCCCGCAGGTCGACTTAGCCTTAAATTAGTACCCGGTTAGGTGTGTACAACATCAGCAGTGGGGAGACAAAGGCGGCCACTACCTCGTGTGCCGCGGCAGCCTGAACAGATGCTCGCTAATCGTGTACGGGGGGGGGGGTGTTGTGGTTACAATCACGCCCGGCCGTCTTTGTCTCCCCAATGGCGATGTTTGCACGTCGCACCAAGTACTCGTGTTGTGGCTGAGTCGACATATTTACACACACACAAACACGCACACACTACACACCCTGCACACACACAAACACACACTGCACACACACACTGCACACACACACACTGCACACACACACTGCACACTGCACACGCACACACTGCACACGCACACACACGCACACACTCACATACACACACACTGCACACAGACACACTGCACACACACACACTGCACACACACACACACTGCACACACACTCCATACACACACACACTGCACACACACACTGCACACACTCCACACACACACTGCACACACACACACTGCACACACACACACTGCACACACACACACTGCACACACACTCCACACACACACTGCACACACACACCACACACACTCCACACACACACCGCACACACACACACTGCACACACACACTGCACACACACACACTGCACACACACACTCCACACAGACACTGCACACAGACACTGCATACACACACACTGCACACACACACTGCACACACACACACTGCACACACACTGCACACACTGCACACACACTGCACACACACACACACTGCACACACACTGCACACACTGCACACACACACTGCACATACACACTGCATCCACACACACACTGCACACACACACTGCACACACACACTGCACACACACACACACTACACACACACTGCACGCACACACACACTGCACACACACTGCACACACACACTGCGCACACGTTAGTCTCATCTTAACTGCATGCCTTTCACCGACTTCTTGTGTTGGGGATAGGGGGCTTCGTGCGGGGGGGGGGGCTGTGGGGGGGGGAGACACTGGTTTGTGGTAGTGGGGGGGGGCTGTGGGGAGGGTGGGGGGGGAGTTGGTGGTAGTGGGGGGGGGGCTGTGGGGAGGGTGGGGGGGGGGGCTGTGGGGAGGGTGGGGGGGGATTATCGGGTCGCGCGGTTTAATGACTTTGGTAGGCACGGCGCGACTTACCGGCGCTGAAGATCCACGCAGGATCCGTCCCTGCGCGGAGCGGTGGGTGCAGTGATTGGCGCACCGCGCGAACGAAACCAAGTTGATGTAAACAATCAGTGGCGGACCAACCTGATGAGGTTGGGTAACCAGCAGCTGCTCCAACAGTCTATGTCGGGTTCACCGGGGGGGGTAGAGTGCGTCGTTGTACGTGGGGGGAGTGTCTGTGAATCTGTGATGATTGCTGCGTGTGGGATGCGTCTTTGTACGTGTGTGTATGTATGTGTGTATGTGTGCGTATCTCCGTGTGCTGTGTGATAGTGGGGAGCGGTGGTGTAGCGGTTAGCGCTGCGATACGAACTCGGCGACCCGGGTTCGATTCCGCTCACGGCCAACACGGGTGACGATTATCTGAACTGGGTCCTGGGCATCCCCTAGGTCGACTCAGCCTCAAATGAGTGTGTGGTGTGTAAACATCGACACTGGGGAGACAAAGGCGGCCAGGCGTG